AGATTCAAATATTCAAAATTTAAATTTCTCTAATACCCTGAAAAAGATCATTAACGATTTGCCTGGCTCCGTGGCACATGCCCATAGTCCCAGCTACTCAGGAGGCTGAGGTGGGAGGATTGTCTGAGGAGCTCGAGATCAGCCTGGGCAACCCAGGGAGACCCCATCTCAAAATGGAAACGACAACAAAACAAACAAACAAATATAAGTGACAAACAGCAAAAGATATCTGCCACATACACGAGAGTAAGTTAATGTTTCTAACATATAAGGCGAGAAAAACACAGTGCTCAGAATTTATGTGGGTATACAGACAATTCACCAAATAGGGAGTAAAAATGACCAATATAAAATAGAAAAAAATTCTCATTACTATTCAAAAATGCAGATTAAAATAAGACACTGTTTTCTACCTATCCAGTTAGTGAACTTCTAGCCCCGTGAATGCCGGCGCAGGTGCAGGTGCCGAGAGCGTGCGGTCCGCTAGGCAGCCGGCTGATACCACCTCCTGGGTGTGATCCAGAAATTATACTTCTAGGAATTTTTCCCAAGGAAATCATCCAAAATACCAAGGCACATGAATAATGACATTCATAACAGTATTATTTATAATAGAAAAATTATCATTACAAAACTACGCCTCGAGGGATGGTTGAATAATTACCAGAATCATCACGTCACTGACCTTGCTTGAGCATCCACCAGGAGCAAGGAAGGGCTTTCCGCTAAGCCCCTTAGTGGCCCTTTGATGTCCAGCCCTCCGTCATCCCCGTGTCACAGAACCTTGGAAGGACCTGCCCATGCACATGCTCTGCCCTGTGCGCAGTGGAGACGGATCCCAGGGGCAGCTATAAACAACTGTCATCATGAGGGTGTTTTTAACCAAGTAGGGACGTGTTCACAATATCGTGCGAAGTAGAAAAGGAAGATCCAGAATCACTCTGTGATTTTAAGTGGAAAAGTGTATCAACTTGTTGCAAAATGCAGCGTGCAGAGAAGGAAGGAATGGGAGAAAGAAGGTGCACAGAAAGGCCACAGAGGCAGGAGGCACGAGGGTGGAGGGGATGGAGGGGGTGGAGGGCTGCTTCTGGCCATTGGGGACACTGCTGCCCCTTTATCAGGGCCATGGCAGGCCTCCCCTGGGCTCCTGGGGGGCCCTGGACTGAGCAGAGACCAGAGACTACCACCCAGGGTGGTCCTTGAAGGGGCGAGGGGGCTACAGGACCCTAGGGCTCTGCCTGCCAGAGTTCCCGGCCCCCTACACCCCTACCTGCTAGGGAAGTGAAAGCCACAGCACCCTCCAGTTTTGACAAGCAGCCAGTGACACCCACGCAAAGAGATGGGCCTGAGGTCAGAGGAGAGGTGAAGGTCAAGGGAGCCAGGGAGGAGGCCTCAGGGATCCGGAGGGTGCTTGGGAATGGCAGGAGGGCCCTGGGACTGGCATGGGCCTCCCCTGCAACTTCACAGACTACACCACGGAGGGCTTCATTGGCAGTGGGGAAACTAAGGCAGAGAGGCCAGCTCACTAGTCCAGAAAGTATCCTGTGGGTAGGGGTGAGGCTGACTCCACGCCTGCTCGTTACCACGAAGAATAAGTGAGCAGCATCCACTGCGGCGCCCATCGCATCATCACAGTCGCCTGTGCCCCCCCCACAGAGCACCCCGGGCACCCAGGGCAGTGGTCAGTGACGTGGGAGGACCCACGCTGCCGCCCTCTGGCCTGCAGGAGCTCGGCGGTGCCAGGAAAGGGCACTGGGCCGTGCTTGGTGCCTAGAGGCTCTGCAAACATCTGCCGAATTGGAGAGAAACATCTTTAACTGTTTCAAAGCCAAAAGATAGAGGAAACATTGTTCTGCACTTCCTCTAACGTGAAATCTGTTCACTAGGAGCTTCCCAAACCCCAGTCCCTGGGAATCAGGAGCCTAAATTTAGATTACCCTTGGAAGGTCACTGGATCACCCTGGGGCAGGGTCAGCCGGCAGCTGCTCAAGATAAACGTGGCTTTTCTGCAGACTCAGGCCTTTCCCTCACACAATTAATGAGATCCTGCCGTACTTCCCCTGGGAAGCAGAACAATAGCCGTGGGTGAGCGGGTGGCCTTGGCCAGCGCTCTGCCTCAAGGGCCCCTCACCAGAGACCAGGGATTCATGTCTCTGCCCAGCCAGGACACCTCTGACCTTGGCCTGCAGGCCCTGCTCCAGCCACGCCAGCCACTTCTGCCCCTCCGACTTGGAGCCCCTTCCCATCTCGGGGATCTTGCACCAGCTGTTGCTTCTGCTCTGCCTGGAACTTCTTCCCTGGATCCCTGCTGAACTGTCACCTCCTCAGAGAGGCCTTCATCACTCTTTTCTGCCCGGTTACTGGTGGACAGGTTACTGTTAGCTCCGCAAGGGCAGGAGCTTCCTGTGCTGTGTGCTCTGCCTGGAGACACCAGGCAGAGCTCACCACACAGTAGGTGGTCCGTGAGTGGAAGAAAGGGTGGCCCTCCTGGGTCTGGCTGGGCCACTCGGAGTCCACTCCCACTCTGGGGTGGGTTTGGGGAGGGTGGGAGTGTCAGCCCTGGTTGTCCTGTCTGGGGCTCTCTGCAGTGGCTCTGGCTCCTTTGGTGATGTCGGGGTAGAAATCAGATTGTGATAGGTGGAGCCTGAGGCTCCTCTCCCAGGTCCCCGAGACACTGTGTGGCTGTTGTCAATGAGTCGTGAGCTTGCTGGGGGCACCCTCAGGTGACAGCCAGGCTGGGGAAGGCCCACAGTGGTGGAGAGAAGGAGGAGAGGCAGGAGGTGAAGGTCGCGAGCCTCGGGCTGGCTGCGGCCCCTCGCTGGCTGGAGGGGTGGCAGGCAGCCTCCCACCTGGGACAGATGCAAAAGACAGCCACCGTGGTGAGGCTTATTCTCGGATACCAGTGAGGAAAACCAACAAGCAAATACACAGTTCCAGCTCGGGCCTCTGGGAGCAATGCTGGGGGATGGGGCAGAGAGGTGTCTTAGGAAGTGACCTCAGCAACACAACTTAGAAGACGAGCAGGACCCAATCTAAGGGACGTGCACTGCAGGCAGAAGAGGCCACAGTGAGAGACAGGCCAGTTAGAGGAAGGTGAATCTGGCCGAAGCACAGTGTGTTGTCAGGGTCACTTGGAGCCGGGTGGCTGGACCAGCCAGTCCCAGCGCAGGCAGGTGCACGCCGATCTGGGCTGCTCTGGGAGTCAGTTCTTTGTCCATGGGCAATGTGACCCTTGGAGGGTTTTAGGCAGGGTGTAACCCAGGAGAAGGGCACACCAGGGTGGCCCCGTGGGCAAGGGTGGAGCCCGGATGACATGAGGAGTCTGCAGCGGTCATTCAGGGAGGATGGTGGCATGGATGGTGGGGGAACTTGGGAAGGTCCCTGGACTCAGGCCAGGGTGGAACAGGATTCAGAGGGTGGGGTGGGTGGTCCAGCTGGGCTCCTGGAGTGGACAGGGAAGGGGATGTCCAGGAGCGTCTGCAGCGAGAAAGCGGAGAGGCCCACGGGTATGCAGCAGGGGGAAGGCAGCAAGTGAGGTGGTGCTTGGGAGGAGACAGTGGTCCTCGGAGCCCTGGCTGGCGAGGAAGGGCCGTGTGGGACAAGACTCTTCCCCCAGCCCCTGGCCCCAGGCCCAGCAAGCTTGCAGCCAGTCCCCCTCTGGGCTGGATGAGGGAGAAGGAACCGGGGCTGGGAGGGGAGATTTATCAAAGCCCCCACGTCTGTGACAGGCCATGCTTTCTCCATGGAGCCCCCTGTCCAATGGGGCTGAACACTTCGGACCAGATGAAAGGACGGGGCATCCAGTGGCCTCAGTCCAGGGCTGGGAGAGCAGACTTGGCTGGGAACAAAGGGGCTGGTGCCTCCACGGGCTTGTGGGCCTCAGGGCCTGGTGCCCCCACCTGAGCCTCAGGGGGGCTGGAGTGTCCACCCCAGCGGACCTTTCGAGAAATGGCCGGGCCATTGTGCAGAAGAATGCCCGGAAATCCCGCGCCTCCCTCCTCCAGCAAGAATGGGGGCTCTTCCTCCTGGCCAGGAAACTCCAAGTTGGCTTCCGGAGGGCGGCCTGGGGGCTGGGGTGCCAGGGGCACCATTGCCACTGGTGGGGGGGCAGGGCATAGTCTTTCATGTCCCTTTGTGTCTCTCCTGTCTGAGGGCCAGAGCAGGCCGCCAAGCCTGGGGCCACTGTGCCCCTGGGAGCACAGCCCGTGTGCTGCTCACTGGGCCCCCAAAGATGAGGGGTGGGCAGCAGCGCAGGAAGAGGAGAGGCTGAGCGGTCTGGGAAGCCCTGCAGCAGGGGAGAGGGTCTCCAGGCAGTGGAAAGGCCCCTGTGCCGGGCGTAGGCTCCAGGGAGGCAGTGGATGGTGTGGATGGTGAGGCCGGGCCCCTGGGCCCCACCCTTCCCGGCATCTCGCTTGGATGGGGCGGGAGAGGCAGTGCAGGACTCCGAAGGGGACCGGGAGTGAGCGAGTGAACGAGGGGAGTGAGCGAGTGAACGAGAGGATTCCAGAGCTGACTTCCTGGAGGGAGGCCCAGCTGTGAGCCGCGAGAGCCCCCCAGGCAGGCCTCCGCGCAGTGGTGACAGGGTGGGGGCTTCCGCCGATCCCGGTCACGGAAGAGTGGAGGTGGCCGGGGTGGAAGGGGCCATCGGTCGGGGATTTGAGGTGGAGGTTGCAGGCTGAGGGTGGCCAAAGTGGTTGGGCTGGCAGATGCAGGGAGGTGGCCCGCGAAGTGCGCCCCAGGCCAGCCGGGAATGCGCTTAGTGGCGCCTGGGACAACTGCGGGTGGGGTTGGGGCGCGGCCGAGCGGAGAGTGTCCAGTGCGCTCAACTACCCCCACGCGCGGTTGTTTCCCTAACTCCGGCCGCCGGGGAGCCTGTGATTGGCTGTGGGACGACGGCCCGCACGCGGATTGGCTGCTTCCGGATGGGGGGCCGGGCCTGGGGCGCGGAATCCGCCCCCCGAGCCTTCAAGTAGAGAGCTCCCCCGGCGGCGCCTGCAGACCCGACGCGGTGCCACAGTCCTGCGGGGCGAGCGGGCGCAAAGGCACCAGGGCGCGCCGAGCCTCACGGCCCAGGCAGGCCGCGCCCGCCGGGAGGCCTCCAGCCATGGGGTCGGCAGCATTGGAGATCCTGGGCCTGGTACTGTGCCTGGTGGGCTGGGTGGGCCTGATCCTGGCGTGCGGGCTGCCCATGTGGCAGGTGACTGCCTTCCTGGACCACAACATCGTGACGGCGCAGACCACCTGGAAGGGGCTGTGGATGTCGTGTGTGGTGCAGAGCACCGGCCACATGCAGTGCAAGGTGTACGACTCGGTGCTGGCGCTGAGCACTGAGGTGCAGGCGGCGCGGGCGCTCACCGTGAGCGCCGTGCTGCTGGCGCTCGTCGCGCTCTTCGTGACCCTGGCGGGCGCGCAGTGCACCACCTGCGTGGCCCAGGGCCCGGGCAAGGCGCGCGTGGCCCTCACGGGCGGCGCGCTCTACGCGCTCTGCGGGCTGCTGGCGCTCGTGCCGCTCTGCTGGTTCGCCAACATCGTGGTCCGCGAGTTCTACGACCCGACGGTGCCCGTGTCGCAGAAGTACGAGCTGGGCGCCGCGCTGTACATCGGCTGGGCCGCCTCGGCGCTGCTCATGTGCGGCGGCGGGCTCGTGTGCTGCGGCGCCTGGGTCTGCGCCGGCCGCCCCGACCTCAGCTTTCCGGTCAAGTACTCGGCGCCGAGGCGGCCCACGGCCAGCGGCGACTACGACAAGAAGAACTACGTCTGAGGGCGCCAGGCACGGCGGGGCCCGTCCCACCAGCCACGCCCGCGTGCCCTGGGAGCTACCTGGGAGCTAACCCCGCAGAGACTGCGGCCTCCGCTGGGGCCCGCTGCGCACAGGCTCCGCTCGACGACCGGCTTTGTGCACGCGGCAGGCACCCGCAGCCTGGCCTCTCCAGCCGCCAGCGGTCAGGCCCTGCCCTGACCAGACGACACGCCCTCGTGAGGACTTGGTCACTTTCCTTCTCTGTGAGCCCAGCTGGGATTCCATGGGCAGAGTGGGCACCAGACTGAAGATGCCAGATGAAGATGCTTCCCTGGCACTGGGGGTCTTGGCTGCTGCCTAACTCCCCAGTGGCTCCCACTGAGTCCAGAGGGGCAATGGAGAGCCTGGGGCCCCAGCCAGGGCTGCTGGAGGGATGTGTACAGCTGGCCTTACCCTATCAGCGGGGCCTGTGCCCAGGGGACCAACGGACTGAGCCCAAAGGACCAACTTCCCTGTCTCACCCCAGCTGCTCCCCAGGCAAGGCTTGTGGGCACCAGAGTGTGAAGCTGGGGCCTGCCCTCCTCTGCGGCTTGTGGGGTGGGAGTGGGAGGTTAAGAATTTGCTTAGTAAATGGTTTGAATACTCTCCCACCTGTGTCCTGTTCTCTGTCCAGTCACCTCCTGTCCACCCACTGAGGACTCCTGGGCTGGCCCCTGGGGCCCATGGCCTTTTCCCCAGTCCCCTCAGCCACCCTGCCACTTTCCCACTTGGTGGGAGATACAGCCACCACCTGCCAACTGTCACCCAGGAAGGTGAGGTCGGCAGTAGAGTCACTACTGAGTCACAGGGCCAGGCTGGAGCAGGGGTGGGGGTGGAGGCAGACCCCAGCGGAGGATGCAGGCGAGAACCCCTGCCAGGGCCCATGAGTGGGAGTCTTGGGCCGGGGAAGTGCTGAGGGTGGAGAGAAGCTGCTGGCTTCTCCCAGGGAGAGTGCCTGGACCCACACAGCATGGGGTGATGTTTTCCACCTGCCCTCCTAGCGCTTGCTTAGTTCCAGGTCCTCTCAAGTGGCCACAGACATCTGTATACTGATCAGGCCCTTTCTAATGGCGGGGCAGGGACAGGGTGAATCCAGGATGTGTGCTGGTTCTGGAACAGCTTGCTGCAGGTCCACAGAGGCGTTGCCATGGGGAGGAGGCGCTGGCGGCCTGGTTCCAGGCCCCTGTCCTGGCTTCTCTGCCAGTCACAGTGTGGCTTTGTGCAGGGCCTGTGCCCACCCTGCTGGCCTGACAGCCAGCCAAGACTGGTGCCAACCACCAGCACCTCTGTGCCTACCCCTGCTGGGAGCACCCTGTGTGACCTTCCACCTGTGGGGGGCCCTGGGAGCCACCACTGGCTCCAGCCAGGCATCTGGGGATGGGGGTCCCAGGAGGGCAGGGCAGGGCCATCTAGCGCGCCACTGAGAGCACATTGTTTCCAGCTCCGTTGTAGGTGCTTTGAATTAACAGATTTTTACCTTTTGCCAAAAAGCTAGGAACAGAAGAGAGCACTGGATGGAGGCAGGGGCCGCAGGGAACGGCTCCAATCCCAGCCAGCAGGAAGGCTTGGCACCTGCCCCCAACCCTGGCCTTGGGGGCCCTGCCCAGAAATGCCTGGGCCACATCCAGCGGCAGGAAGTCTCCCAGGCCTAGCCAGGCTCCGCAGCGTGGGGAAGGGGAAGAACCCCAAGGATGTGGGCTCGGAGGGGCTCAGAGCAGCTGCTGTGGCCGCTGTGGTAGCTTTCTGGGAGTTGAGATGGAGCCAGCAGGTGGGACGGGCTACAGCAGGATGGGCCCCGGGGTGCTGAGGTCCTCAGCAGGCCTATTGCACAGCCCCACCTGGGTCTTGCAGCAGGGACCAAGAGCAGTCCCCAAGCTTGGGAGTGTGTGATCTGGAGCTGTGACCCTGGGCAGGGTCGGGAGCGATGGTCCTCATACTGTGGCATCTGCCACTGGGGCCGGGAAGTGCCGGGTCCGGGGTGTTCAGCCAGGAGCTTGGTCTCAAGGCTGCCCGGGAGGGCTGCATCCCACACCGGCCCTTTCCCGAGAAAGGAAGGGCAGTTGCACAGCTTTTCCAAATGGCCAGGGTGGGCAGCTTGAGGGCCTGGGAGCCCAGCCGCCACCCACCTTACCCATGCCCGAAGGGGCAGGGGCAAACTCGACCACCACAGAGGGGAGGGGAGACGAGTGCCTCCAACCCCGCTCTGGCCCCACTGTGCCCACTATCCCTTCCTGAGGGCTGCACTGAGCCCCTGCCCCACCCACTGTGTCCTCACTTCCAGGCCACTTTTTCTGGGCTTTCCCCTACTGACTTAAAACCTGCCCAAGCCACTGCTGCCTCAAGGCTCCCGCCCAACGCCGCTTCCTCCCAGCAGCCTGGGCGCCTGACACAGGTGGACACCTGCCCCCAGCCTGCCTGCTTCCCGGGCACCCACATCCCCCGGCGGCAGCCACAGACGGCCTCAGCCCACGAGCAGCACCTCACACCCCAGGAAGGGCAGGAACTGCACCCTCGTCGCCTTCTGATCCCTCGACACTCACAGGTGCTCAGGGGACATCAGGAACAGGTGGGACCAGCTGACTCCACGACTCCCCTGCCTGGGAAGGCCCCACTGCCCTGAAGGCCATGCTGAGGTCCTGTCCACCTCGGACCTTCTGTGACCAGATGTGGGTGATGCCGACTTCGGAGCCTTGGGGTGTCTCTATCCATGACCCATGCAGCCAGCTGGCCCTTCCCAGCATGAGGCACCCCCATGCTGTCCCTTCTCCTCTGCATGCGGTGTGCCTGCAGGGACATGGCACCTGGATAAGTACTGGGCTGGTTGGGGGGTGGCAGCCAAGAGGGTGGACTTGCCATGCTGCCAAGGCCAGGCCAACAGAGCCAGGCGCCAGCTGGCATTGCTGGGCAGCAGGAAGCACAGGTGCCATGAGGGCGCAGGTGCCTGGAGGACAGGGTGGGGAGACCTTGTCCGTGGGGCCAAGTGGGGGTTACATGCCCATGCTGATTGCCTGCACGGCCTCAGCACCCAGGGCACAGGACCAAGGCTCCCCTGGACCCACAGAGAACTCAGGGCACACCCAAGCATGGGCCTCTCAACCAGAGCCAAGACGGGGAACAGAACCTAAAACAAGCATTTTATTCCATTAAAAACCATTGCCTCTGCACCACAGACCATGTCCATAACTTACAATCTAAATAAAAGCCAGTTAATATAAATAAGGAGGAGGTCGTTTCTGAAGGAATCAAATTCTGGAAAAGAACAAAAGAAAAAATAAGTGTATCAGACAATTCTGATATCTCCCCAAATTAAACAAAGTGCCCCAGCCTTCCTACTGACATTCGGGGCTGTTGCTTCGACACGCAGCCTCGACCCCTCAGGGGTGAGGGGCAAGGGCCATTCCCCATAGCACCCCTGCCTGGGTCCGGGCTGTCCTCCACTGGAGCCCCAGTGCCCTCGCGCCCCAGCACCACCTCACCAAGAGGACCCCATCTAGGTGCATGTCTGGCCTGGGCTGGCCCCCAGGTGCCGTCGCATGGCCTTTCCCCTGTACAGCCAGTCTCCCCTCCCCCTAGCACTCTGCTCCTCACCCCCCCCCCCCCCATCCCCAGCCTGGCCACTGCACTCCTGCCTCGGGGCAGGACACCCGTAGCAGAGCCACCAACCACGCTGTGCGGTCAGTGGGGGGGCAGTGTCTGCCTCCAATGCTGGCTCCACTGCCCGAGAGCCCCCACTTGTGACCTGACACCTCTGCCCAACCTTGGGGGTCCTGTGCTGACACACATATCCGTTGTCTAAGGAGGGTGTCAGCCTCATTTTCAGATGCTACAGGTTCAGCCTAATTAGGCACCTAGCCCAAGGTCACTGCCGATGGGCCGACAGATCTCTCGGAAAACCCCAAGGGTCTGACCGGAGCCCCTGCCCCAACATGGGGTCCCATGTAGCCCAGGCTCTCCTGAGAGAAAGACTGCAGGACTCTCACAGAGCCTACTCTGGCCCCAACAGGGGAAAAGGCACCTGCCCCCATGGCTCCAGCTCTCCACAGAGGAAGGACGTGGGGAGGACCTCTGGCGGGAGGGGACCCGCTGTGTCACAGCAGTGGCCTCCAGCCGAGGGCTCAGGGAGATGTAGGTTGGAGCTGGCACCCACTGTGGGGGGCCTGGGCTGAGAGATGGTCACAGACACAGAACAAGCCCCCAGCTCCGTTTCCCAAAGGGCTCCTCAAGGAAGAGGTGGCGTGTGGGGCAGTGGGAGGCACCCTGGCCACAGTAACCTGTCCGTGACTCTCGACGGGGCCCCTCAGGATAGGCGTGCGCTGGGTAGGCCGGAGCAGAGCCGACTTTTGCAATTCCAGGTTTGGCGGTGGCTGGCGACAGCTCTGCTTTCTCAAGGGCCGAGCACGCAAAGGCGTGGAGGGCTGGCTCTGCAGGCTCTCGCCGGGGTCTGACACGAAGGCTGCGGGGCGGGAGGCTCCAGGCAGCCACCAAGGGCAGTGCCAGGGAGTCTGCGTGTCACACGCATCGCACATGCGGTGCCCAGCCCCACAGTGTGGCTGGCAGGGGGTCAATGCCAGCTCTTTCTGAAGGGATCACAGGGGCTTAATGAAATTAGCTTCCTCAGAAATGCCCCATTGTGGCCCTGCTGGCAGTCCAGGGACAGACACGCCCGGGAAAAATGTGCTGGCCTCAAACAAATCTCCTCAAGAACCTGCTCCTTCTGAACCCGAGTAGAAGCCTCCGCTGATGGGGCACAAGGCATCAGGGTCGTCTCTGATGCAGCGGGCACCCCGCCACCCCGAGTAACTCACCCTCAGGACAGGAGGGAAACAAGTGCATCCAGAAATTTGCTCCGATCCTCAGCTTTTAGCTCCATCACTGAGGTAATGAAAGAAAAACACTTTGTGAGAGGGAGGAGTGGGAAAACAAGGCGAGGCACGGAACTCCCTCTGTCCCCTCCATGGCCAGAACGAGCTTCCACATTCCAGCTGCACAGGCCCCCACGCCTGGAGCGCTCTGGGCCAACGGGTTGCCTCTCCCGTCCTGCTGTATTATTTAATCTCGAAAGTGTTGGCTATGCCGTGAAAGGCCAGAGCTGGGGCCTATGGGGAGGGCCCTCTGGGGTCCAGTGGTCACAGCCTGCAGAGGGGACATGAGGGTGTGATGACTCAGAGCCTCATAGACCTGGGCAGGGCCGGGCCTGCCCATCCTGCCAGACACAGACCTCTGCCCCATATAGGCTGAGGGAAGCCCCAGGTGGGCAGGCCACCTTCGGCCTCAGTGCCCCTTCCACACAGGGGACACGCTGCAAGCCGCCTGCGTCTCACAGGGCCATCACACTTGGCCAAGCCACAGGCCTTCAGCACACAGGGAAAAACCAGGTCCCAAGAAGGGTCGGGCCTGGTCCTGGGGGCTGTCCACGCCGCCAGCCACAGCCCCGGGAGCCCCAGGTCCAGCCCGCCCAGGTGGGCACTGGCCCGGCTCACTCCACACCCCCAGCCCTGGCTCTCCACCCTCGGGGTAAACCAGGCAGCTCCAGCCCCGACTCCTCCCTGTGTAAGGAAGGCCGTGGGCGCCAAGCTCTCACACACAGCAGGCGCGAAGAGCCAGCAGGGGCTACTGCTCTCAGGGTGAACTGACACCACCCGGGCCCCGGCCGTGACTGTGCCTGGCTGGAAGCCAGCTTGGAGAGAGCTATGGCAATGTGAAGAAAGACTGCGTCTCCCAAAACAGTGATCTGCCATTGGTGAGGAATCAGGCGGTGGTGATGTAAGAAAATGTCCTTTCTGAAAGATGCTGAGGGGTGTTATAGGCTGACTGTGTGTCCCCAAATTCCTATGTGGAAGCCCTAACCCCCAGTAGCTCAGAATGTGACTGTATTTGGAGACAGGCCCTTAAACAGGTAATTAAGTTCAAAGGGGTTTGTTAAGGTGGGATCTAATCCAATCCGACAGGTGTCCTTAGAGAAGGAAATCTGGACACATAGACACCAGCGAGCAATATGTGCACAGAGGAGATGCCATGTGAGGACACAGCGACAAGACGGCCATCCACAGCCAGGAGCAAGGCTCAGGAGAAACCAGCCCTGCCCACCTTGACCTTGGCCTTCTCACCTCTAGGACTGACAGGAAATAACTGGGTTGAGCCGCCAAGTCTTGGCACTTAGTTATGGCAACCTCAGCAAACTAATGTGGGAGTTGAAGTGTCAGGAAGTCTTTTTACTTTAAAACCTGTCAACAAGGCCAGGCGTGGTGGCTCACACCTGTAATCCTAGCACTCTGGGAGGCCGAGGCGGCTGGATCGTTTGAGCTCAGGAATTCAAGACCAGCCTGAGCAAGAGCAAGACCCCGTCTCTACTAAAAATAGAAAGAAATCAGTCAGACAACTAAAAATACATAGAAAAAATTAGCCAGGTATGGCGCTGCGTGCCTGTAGTCCCAGCTACTCGGGAGGCTGAGGCAGAAGGATCGCTCGAGCCCAGGAGTTTGAGGTTGCTGTGAGCTAGCCTGAGCAACAGAGCAAGACTCTGTCTCCAAAAAAAAAAAAAAAAAACCTGTCAACAAGAATAAAAAGGCAAATTCGGCCAAATGTCAACCAGGCTCCAAGCTGGCATCTGGGGAAGTGGCTGCCGACCAGGGCCCTTCCACTCTGGGCCCATCTGACACACAGGTGGGGCCAGTGCTCGAGCCAGCACACAGGCAGGACCCATCACGACGACACAGAGCCCTGGCCAGTGTGGAGGTGGCCGGCACGGCTTTGGAGGTGGTACCCTTTTGTGGCTACAGGCCCCACTATTCCCTTACCCCACGAGAAGGGGACAACCCTGACCAGTGAGGCCCTGAAGGCCAGAGTTGGGTCTGTCACTCCCCAGGAAAAACCTTTTCTCTCTCCGAGGGGTCCTGAGCCACCTGGAGTAGCCTGTACCAGGGCCGGTTCCAGGTCGAGAGGGCTGCTGGCTGGGCACCTCCAGCCAGTGCTGACCTGGGAGGGGCAGGTGGGAGAAGCATGGCCGAGTGGCAGGAGACTCTCACCTGAGAGGTCAAAATGGTTGTGCAGTGTCCGGGAGCTGGTGCTTTCCGCTGCCTTCTCAAATGCCCGCCCAAAAAAGCTGTGGACACACAAGACATGTTGGGGGCCAGGCCGCCTGCAACGGACCCTTCCCCACTGCTGCCCCAAGACAGACGCTGGGGGTAGATGCTGCTCTACTCAGCAGGGCTGGTGGGCCGATGTGACAGACCCCCATGCCCAGCCCAGAACAAGGACAAGCCACTTACTTCTTCCTGTCTGAGCTGTCGGTCTCTGGGGGGATGCCCACCATGGTCACCGTACCCTGTTCGGCATTCAGCGGGGCAGCCATCACCAGGGGCAGCAGCTTGCAGCGCCGGTTCTTTGTCTATGGAGATAAAGGGCACCCAGGTAGGGCGTGGTGGGCCCAAGCACACCACTCAGCGCCCAGAGCCCTGGCGGTGCCAAGCCACCCTGCTCCCCAAGGCCTCCAGAGGAGATACTCTGGTCCTTGCACTGTGATGCCTAGGCTGTGACACCATGTCCCTCGGGTTCCTTGTGCACTGGTGCTGCTCACTGCCCCATGGCTGCTCCTCGTAGGGGCTCTGCCCCACTGTCCGCTCTTACGCCTCCTGCACCTCCTGCTGCAGCTGCCACCTTCCCCAGGAGGCCTCCCAACCCCCACCTTGTCTCGCCCCATCCTCGCGTGGTGTGTGTCCCCACCTGAAACCCCCTGGCCTGCTTGTGTGCTCCCACAGTGTGGGGACTGAGTGTCTCCCTGACTGCTGTACTGGCGGCACCTATACCTACAACCCAGGTGGCCGACCAATCTGATTTGTTCAGGATGCAACCCAGGCCAGCTGGTCCCTGGGACAGCAGGGCCCAGCAGGTGGTGGCTGCTCAATAAATGTCTGAGAAACGAATGGATCCTGTGAAGTGGATACTTGTTTACCCATTTTATAGACAAGGAGACTGAGGCTCAGGTCAGGTAATCTACCTCCCATCACACAACTGGTGAATGAGGATGGGATTTAAACCCAGCCTAGAGGACTTCAGAGCTCATGTCTTGTCCCTTGTTCATCTTTTGACATCACTAGATTGACTTCACAGAGCATTTGTTTCATGACTTTATTGGTTAGCTTAGCAGAACAAGAAAATGTCAACTTCCTGTCACATATTTCATTTGAAATGGCCCCCAGCATGAACCCTCATCCTCAAAGCAGAGCAAGACTTTGATTATTGAAATGTGTGGACCGGCCTTTGCACAGTTGCAGGCAGGAAGAGCCCAGTGTCAGCTGGAGACGGACTCCTGCCTGAATGCCAGCTGAGCAAGGGTCTGCGCCAGGCCAACACAAAGAAGGGTGCTGGGCCACATGGAATGCAAAGCCGCGCACACAAAGTTAGCCTAGAAGACAAATTCAGTAAGTCTGTGCTATAACCAGCTCGCTCTCCCTGACCTGCCACAGTGGGACATGAGCCCCAGCCCCGTGTGCTCCATGTGGGCCCCTTCCTCCTCCTCCCACCGACTTGCTGTGAGAACTGGAAGGTGCCTAGGGGTCGGCTGAGGAAATACAGCTCTGAAAGAATAAGGGATTTCCCCAGACCTGGCAACTGGTGAACGACCACCTCAAGGCCAGTGTCTAACACCCAGTCTGGGGCACCCTCCTGCACCGATGGCACCCCCCATATGGCTCCTCACCGAATACACAAAGGACTTGAGCAGGTGCCGGCTGAGCAGGCTCAGGGACGCCGGCTTGGAGAACAGTGCGACATCTGGAGTGCCCTGGGGAGGGAGAGAGAAGGTCAAAGGAGGCTACTGGCAGGCGTGGCCTGGCCCCATGTGCCCGCGGGGAGCCTGACCTCCATGAGGGAACAGTAGAGGAAAGGCCCCTGGGAGATGACGAGGTTGGTGCAGATGCAGCTGGCAATGGTCTGCTGGGTGGCTCGAAGCTGCTTCTTGGCGAGTTCCAGGCCCAGGTACAGCTTGTCTAGGTTACTCCTGCAAAGGGGCAGATACACGGCTTTGGCGTTGTTTGTTGAAGACGCGTGGTTCCTGGTTCAGGAGGGGGTCTGGGGATAACAGTTGATCTTCTCTCCCTTCTGAGTTCCTTTCAAGTGAAAGAAAGGGACGAAAAATGCACAAACCCACAGCGATGTAAACAAGAGGTGAGGAGGGATGTCGGCATCAGAACAGAGACACTGAGAGCCAACAGAGGGAAGACCCCACAGTGGAGGGCCCAGGAAGGTGCCTGCAGGCCTCTGATGGAGGAGGATGGGGGACCCTCTCCCACAGACGGACTTTTACTCCTTCCCTCAAAAACAGAGGGTTCCCCTCTGAATACATGAAATGAACCCTCTCTGGAGAAGCAGGGTCCTTAAGCAAAGCCTCTGTGCCCCACAGTCAGGAGTCCCAAAGTGTCACAGTCAGCGCCCCACCCAACAAGATGAAGCAATCAATGTCTTTTGGCCAGGAAGCCATGCCCTGACACCCAGGGCAGTTTGTTTGTTTGATTATTGATTGATTGATTGAGATAGGGTCTTGCTCTGTCACCCAGACTGGAGTACAAGTGGCTCACTACAGCCTTGAACTCCTGGGCTAAAGTGATCCTCCTACCTTAGCTTCCAAGAACCTAGGACTGCAAGTGTGCTCTGCCATGCCTGACTAATTTTTCTTCCTCTTTCTTTTTTTTGGGGGACAGAGTCTTGCTTTATTGCCCCCGTTAGTGTGCAGTGGCGTCATGATATCTCACTGTAACCTCACACTCCTGGGCTCAAGTGATCCTCCTGCCTCAGCCTCCCGAGAAGCAGGGACTACATGCCTCCTAAAAAGTCAGGGAAACAAAATTCACACATGAGCATCAGAGAAGTACCAAGGTCAAATCTCCTCAAAGTCACGATCAGAAAAAAGAAAACGGGAGCAAAATAACATCTCTCTGGACAATGACAGTACACTAGTGTCAAAGGTGCAGATCCCAGGGTGAACTCACTTTTTGTCAGACCCAAACGAATTAGAGCCAGGAAAGCATAAAGCCAGAAAGCTCCTGCTTGCACGTCTGAGATAAGACTGTCTTGAGGACTTTCTAAAATAACCCCACAAGAAATCCCTTCTATGGGACTGCAGCAATTCAGATAAGATGCTCTGGAAATAACACCTGTCCACTAACGGCACCTCCGCCAATGAACTCACGCCAGCTCTGGCTTTGAGTCTCTGAAACCAATGAACTGTGTTTCCAACCAGCTTATGCAAACTTCTCCTTTTGCCAATAAAGATTCCCTTTAGCCCTCCCCTCTTTGGATGCACATGTGGTGTGCCGTAGCCATGCATCCCGGGTTATGATCCTCTTTTCTAATTCCTGAATAAATCCAACATACTTGGAGACATTTTTCTATGTCTTTTTTTAGTTTGACATTAGAAAGACATGCCAAAAAGAAAAAAAATCAAAACTGTCACATTTTATTTCAAAACAAGTTAAATATGTGGAAAAAATAATACAGGACATCTTAGGAAGTGAGATAAGAAAGGATTAGAAATAAAAGAAAAATAAGGCCAGGTGCAGTGGCTCACACCTGTAATCCCAGCACTCTGGGAGGCTGAGGTGAGAGGATCACTTGAGGCCAGGAGTTCGAGACCAGCCTGAGCAAAAGCGAGACCCCCGTCTCTACTAAAAATAGAAAAATTAGCTGGGTGTGGTGGCGTTCACTTGTAGTCCCAGCTACTCAGGAGGCTGAGGCAGGAGGATCGCTTGAGCCCAGGTTGAGGTTGCCGTGAGCTGTCATCACAACATGGCACTTTAGCCTGGGTGACAGAGTGAGACTCTATCTTAAAAATAAATAAGTTAAACTAAGTGAGAAACGAAGAGGAAACAAGAAGAAACACAAGAATGAATAAACACAACAAATAATGCTTTAAGAGATACAGAAGGTGAAAAAAGAAGAAAATTTTAAAAATCAGAAAGAAAAAGGAGCTGGAAAGGATTGAGAGAAAGCGAGGGGAGCTGAAGAGGGCAGGCAGCATGTCGCATGCACCCTGTTCTGGCACTAGGATTCCGATTCCCATGAGCAGTTTCTGAAGGACAGTCACTCCCATGTCCTGGAGTCCCCGAACCTGCATCCCTGGACAGTGTGAGGCGGAGGACCAGTGGTGGCCCCCTGGTGATGGCAGTCCACGGCAACACCCATTACCTGGAGAGACTGTCCAGAGCCTGGATGAAGTGATCTGTCCCTGAGCCGTCCTTCTCAGGATTCTCCATCAGAGACATGGTGGCAAAGACCACATCGCTGGCCAGGAACTTATGCTTGAACCCAAAGTGAATGCTGAAAGTCTGCATGCGCATGTCCTTCATCCTGTCACCGGAAGAAGCAACGTGGCTGTCACCCTCAACTTGTGGGTGAGCTCTTGCCACTGGGCCAGGCCAGCAGGCACACTAATGTCCCTCACCAGCCCCCTCTGACACTCCCGGCACAAGCATTCTGCTCAGAGAACGAGGCAGGTCAGAATGCCCAGAACACCAGCTTGCAGCACAAAGTGGCCGAGCGCCTCCTTGTCCACAGCTGCTCAGCTGGCCGGGACAGAGTCAGCCTGTCTGGCCAGGGGCTGTGTGGGGTCCTGTCCTGTGCCCCAGCATGCCAGCTAGCGGGGCAGCCAGGCTCTCTAGCGGTTCCTGAGGATCTGGTCAGGCAGAGCTCGCCTGACCCTGGCCCTAGCAGCTGGTTTTCTGTCTCCAGAGAGGAAGGGGCTGGGTGGACCTCACAGGTTCATACCATAGCCTCAGGATTTAAGGATCCTAACCTCCCAGGTATTTTAAAGAGTCCTATTTTCAAGCCTAAAAGAACTAAACTTCAGGAATGGCCACAGTCAGATAATGCTCACTTGTACATTCCAGGATTTTCTGTATTACCTTAGGAGCATTAAAGCAAAAGCCTTCACTTTAAAGCTAAATCCAAAAAAATTGTGCTTACCCAAATTTAGTAGCAGACTCTTCAATCATTTCTTGCAAATTCTCCTTTAAGGAGATGTCCATGGACTGGAACTTCTGCTTCACCTGTTTCAGGGGAAGCCTGGAAAGACAGAGCGAGCCCAGGCACGTGAGTGAGATCACGCAGCCCCAACAGGATGGAAAGTGCCCTGAAGATCAGGGCAAATGAGGAAGCCCCAGCATGTGTGTCGAGACGATACTCCAGGATCCGGGGTCCTTTTATATTTATGGCAGAATAAGCAGCAGTTGCATTTTACAACCAAGTTGGTCAAACCAAAGCAGAGGGTCTATTCCCTCGGGTGTGGATGGGGCCAGGAGGTCACTCACCCCATGTCTGCCAGGAACTCCTGAAGCCGCTTCTGCCCATGCACAGACCAGAGCTTGAACCTGGCCGCAGTGTAGCTGGTGTTGCACAGGCTGTCGTGGAGGGACCAGTGCTGGTAGAGTGCCAGGCAGAGGCTGGGCCTGCGGTCAAGGAGCACGCGGTACCCCCTCAAGCCCGCCCCACAGGGACCTATAACCGGCAGCACTTGGAGCCACCATCCTCCCTGCCCACCCTCCAGTGGTTTCCTTTCTACCTGGAGTCCTGGAGTTTGGACCTCAGCTCCCTGACTCCCTACCTCTTCCTCAGTTACTCCACATCATGGTCCCCCAAGTACGCCCCACCCCAACGTGTCAGGAGGGCTCCCATGCACCATGGCCCTTTTCTCCAATTGCTTGGCCAGCACCACGGCCAGCTCTGGCTCCTTCCCTAGGCTCTCATGGGCACCTCACTCCTGATGTGCCCACACTCGTGTCCTCCCTAGCTATCCCAGTGCAGGGACAGGGCAGCTCTATCCTTCCATGGCTCCACCCAACTGCTCACAGCCACTGCTGCAGTCTGGCCCGAGCTACCACCATGTGTCCTCGGGATGGCTGTGACCATTGCCTCGCCCCCACCTACTGCTACTGGGCAGCCACGGGACCTTTTAAAACGCTGAACTGGTCACTCTGAGACCTCCCACTGCCTTAGGCTCACAAGGTAACACACTCCGGCCTCCGTTGTGCCCGACCCCGACCACCTTGTCTGCTTTGCCAGCCCTCCCCGTGCCCACTGCAGCCCCCGCTGCCCCGTGTGGCTGAGACTCGGCGTGAGATGTGGCCTCCCCCTGGTCTTTCCTGGGCACTCCATCAATGCCCCACGTTCTGCTCAGAAATGTTGTGCTCCATAATTACAAATTGTCTTACTTCCTTCCCGACTCACTGAACTGCCACCCCGCACGGGCAGGCCCCATGTGGACACACCACGTGTGTCTAGCAGTTAGTAGGGACGTGCTGGAAAAGGGTGATACTTCCAAACCCAGCTCTGGCATTTGGAGGCCACAGCCACACAGACAAGCTGGGGCGGCACCCCACAGCCCTCCTCCGGAAACATCCCATCCCACACCTGCTGCCCCTCCTGGGGTCCTGGTAGCCACAGTCATGCCATTTGCATACATGCCATCCACAGGGGACATGGGCTAGGGCTCACAGAGGGTAACAAAGCAAACAGTGCCCACTGAGCAGAACATCGGAGGCAGGGGTGCTGTTTGCACCCCTCGGGCCGAGCTGCAAGGATACTCGTACTCAAAGGAGACCCGCGTGCAGTCCACGGAGAGGGTATTCTCCTCGTCCTCGTTCCGGTGGTTGTGCCGGGACACATGACGCTGCAGGATGCCGACATCAGTCACATATTTCATCCTGAAAAGAAGGCGTCACAGGCCTGGGCCTAGGCTCCCTCCGCCCTCAGGGGCTCCCCACCCTTTGGGCGGTCCTGTGTAAGGACCCAGGAGGCTCGGCCACCTTCTGCATAGAAACCACCAAGTGGCCAGGAAATGCGACCTGACAGCTGGGATGGCTGGCCTCTGTCCTCACCCACCTCCTGTCCTCTCGTCTGATGCTTCCTGGGGGTATGTACTGCGGAGGCCAGGGCCCGCCTGCCAGCCCACACAGGCAAGTGGACAGACCCCGTCCGTGGCAGGAACCACAGCAGAGTGTGCAGACTCTAGACTGCACAGGAAGTGCTACTGAGCACAGTGGGAGTGGGCAGGCCCCACTCCAGTGCCAAAGTGCCTCAGACCAGGATAGTGCCAGCAGGACCTCACCTGGGGACAGCACAGGCCAGGGACGTGTCTGGCACTGCACACATCGTTCTCTCTGGACCCTAAGTTAATCTATGTGCAAATCCCAAACTACTGTTAACAGAGGAGGGGACTGAGGCCCAGCAGGGCGGTGGGCTGTGCCAAGGCGACATGTCTGGGCAGCGGCCCCAGATCTGAGGCTCCACAAGCCACACTGCAGGACCCAATGGGGGCAGGGCAGGGAGGCAGGAAACAGAAGGCATGGAGTGCAGTGCCCAGGCAGAGGCTGTGCCAGGTGACAGCCTGGAGACATCTGTATGGTCTCCTAGGAGGGGGTGAGCATCATGTGGTCAAGGTCCCTTTTGGTTCCCTAGAGGTCACCAGAGGAGCCCCCCCTCAGCATTCGTGTTCCAGGGCAGCCAGACCTTCTTAAAATCCTCTCCAGCCCTCCCCTTGCCTTTGGGATAAAACCCACATGCCCCAGCTTGGGCACCCACCCCCTCATCCTGCACAGGCCACACCCCAGCACCCACATTGAAGGGTGCCGAGAGGCCATGTGTGTTCCCTCCTGCCACAGTTGGCTCCACCTGGTGGATGAAGAGGCCACACGTGGCCACAGCAACTCCGTCAAGGTCTGGGTCCTTAGCCCTTCCTCAGCGACAATGGCTCCAGGCCAAGGAGGAGCCAGAACCCTCCTTCCCAAGAAGACCCCATGGTGACTCTGTGGCAAACTCAGGGGCCGTGGCTAGGCTGTGCCCCGGAAGTGGGAGGAGCGTGTCCTTACTGGGTGATCTTGTCGTGCACCCACTGGTCCGTCAGTCCAACGATGGCCCACCTACAGGGAGAGAGGGCGATGGAGCTGGCCTGCAGGAGCAAGGCATGGAGTGGTGGCCGGAGCTGGGCACTCCTGGGAGCATCCTGCCAGGGAGGCCAGACCCTGGCCTGCACTCAGACAGGTGGCCTGCCCCCTCTCGGTGCAGAGGTCAGGTCAGCTCGGGGCTCGTGGTGCAGTGTCTGCCACCATAGAGGCTTTAATCACTCACAGGAGGGAAATCTCTCAGGACCAGGACATCAGCGGCGATGTGGCCAGCCCTTCTGCCTGCCCCCAGGCCCACTCTGCCCACACCCTTCCTGAGCATCCCCTGGCCCCAACACTCAAATGGAGGCTGTGCTCAGCTGCTGGTGGCCCCGGCACCACCTCACCATCACCAGCCCCAAGCATGGCGGACCCTAATCTCGTCCCCATGTTTGTCCTGCAGTGTAACAGGTGGGGTGCAGAGTAACATCTTTTAAGCATCTGGAGAACCTTCAAAGGTCGCGTCTCCAGGCTCATCTTTTATGGATGAGACCCAAGCTGTGGCTGGCCCCCAGCAAGAGTGCCCCAGGCCCTGGCTGTGCTCGGTTGTGCCAAGTCGCCAGGCGCTGGCCTTCGAGACCTCCTCCGGGCTCATAGCTGAGAGCAGCAGGGGACACCCCGTGCACACTGAGGCAGGGAGGCCCTGGGAGATCCTCCGTGGCGGTCAGTGGGCACCCCAGCACCCCCATCGTATCTCCCAGTGCAGCGTGCCTAAGAGGGACCTCTTCAGAAAATGCCAGCGGGGCTGTCTTTCCTGACGGACCCCACCTTGTCCCAACCCTCCTGCATGTGCATTTTTGAGTCATGTTGTTTTGCATTTGTTCTTGTGTTGTTTCTGGGGTTTCCTGAAATCGCCGCTGAACTGATAGGCTTGTAGTGGGGGGGCTGTGAAGGGTGCCACAGAGCACACAGCAGGTGCTCACCGAAGGCACCCGCTCCACGATGCTGAGCATGTAGAACGACGTGGCAATTGCTGGCTGGGTGTGAGAAGTAGAACGCTACACCCAAATGGCTCAAGCCAGTGGCCAGAGATTAGAACTTGGGGCCTCTCTCCTGCCTGGCAGACCCAGCTCTCCGCTTTCCAGCTGCTTCCTTTAATAGGACCATTCAGGCACCCATCTGTGCACTTAAAGTGACCACGCCCTATTGCCTATACACACTGCTCATTGCCACCTGCGTCTCTCTCTGCCTGACCCTTCATTCCTGCCTTGATGACCTGGAGGTGGAAGACTGCCCTCTTGACTCATAGCACCCTCCCTGCCCAGGATCTGTAAGGAAAAATCTTTGATCTTGTTTCCTATTGTGGTGTATTGAATTTGTGCCTTCCGTTGGAAGAACCAGGGGCTGCCCCAGGCTGAGTTTTCCCCAGAACACCAGGAAGAACACAGAGTCGGGCTCCCAGCATAGCTGGATACGGGTCAGACAAGAGCCACAGGGCGTCTGCCAGTATGAACAAGTGTCTTGTGCGAGGGACCTGGTCACAGGTCGGACAACTAGGCATGAGACCACCCACCAGGCACCAGCAGTATCCCGTTAAAGCCACACTGAGATCACCGCATCCTGCTCCCTTCACTTCCCACAAGGGCAGGGTTGCTGGCCACTCTGGTGTGAGGGGCTCTTATAATCGTGCGTCACTGCTGCAGGACTCCTACATGACCTTACTGCTGGACGCTCTATGTGAGACCCTGACCCCTACCCTGGATGTGGGGATTGTTACTTCCACATCACGGAGGAGAATCTGAGGCTAAGAGGATGGAGTGACCCAGCCAAGGATGGTCAGGAGCACACAGCAAGGCACCAGCTCGCAGTCCAGGAAGGAGGCCTGAGGGCCGGCAGGGACCCACTGGCTGGCAGCCTCACATTGAGGTGATGACAGAGCACCCTGGGCCTAGTGGTTGCTTCATGCCAGCCCCTCAGCTCCTCCGAAGCCCCAATTCTGCACAGACCACAGACTGCGTGTGATCAGAGCTGGTGGGGCCTCAACAGGCGGTCATGTCGCAGAGACCAGGATGCCCAGCAGAGCGCGGAGGTAGGGGAGCGAGGCTGGAACTGCACTCTTCCCTCAGAAAGACTCTGCAGACTCCATTTCTAGACCCACCCACATTGATAATAACCAGCCAAGGCCTCCTTGTCTGTGTGCCAAGCACCCAGCCCACAGCCCACACAGCAGACTCAGAGGCAGGAGGATTCTTGCTGTATCAAGTTTCACCACGTGCCTAGGCCACAACGATGCCTAGCAAGGGCTGCCCTGTTCAAACCTCACACTCCTGCCACCTGAATTTGCCAAGCACAAGGCAAAATTAGGCTGTACCCAAGCTGCACCTCTCACCCTCTGCACCCTCTGCCACCCACATCTGAGTTCACGTGAAGCCCCCAGAGCCTCACATTTAGCAAGACCAGGGTCGTGCACATTCCCAGAAAGGGGTTATGTCTGATGCTCCTGGTGGGGACAAGGGAGGTGCCCTCCCTGCAGGACAGAGCTGCTCAAGTGGCGCTGACCTAGGCTGGGCGGCAAGACTCCCAACGCAGACGCTGCAGGGGCTACGTACCACAGCATGTCGTTCAGGTCCTTGGACATCATCCACGCCAGGTCAAACATCACCATGGCCGACTGCAAGGAAGCAGAGAAAAGCCTGAAGCCAAGGGCGGCTTTGATTGTGGAGGGACACACACCAGGTCCAGGCCATGCACACAGGGCCCTGGCTGAGCTCCTGCAAATGGAGGGTCTGCCAGGCCAGGGCACACAGGAGGATTCCAGCCCGAAGTGAGGAACCAGTACACACTAAACCAAGGGGAGGGAGATTGAGAGTAACTCAGTGGCCCTGCATGTGCTCCTCTGCTAGCTAAATCATCACTGCCTGCACACTTGATCCTGAAGCAACGGAAGGAGGAGAAGAGTGCGCTACACGGGGTGGGACAGCCCAGGTGCAGCACTGGGCTGTAGTGTCTACACATCTCCCTGGGCCCCTTGGTGATGTCTGAGGCAGGCGCTGAAGCCCAGAGGTCGGGGGACCCATCTTCTGTCTGACCCTGCCTCCCTGCACCCCTCCAGGCTGGCTGGCAGCCTTACGTACACTCCCAGGAAGGCCAGACGAGCCAGGGCTCTGCTTCCAGTTACCTGGACATTAAAGTGGGAGGGGCCTCAGGACCCCCACTGAGGAAGGTCTTTCCAACAGGGCTGTCCATGGATGGAAGGAAGCAATTAGCAGAGGGTCTGGTTAGGGAGAACTCGAGGCGGATCGATGTCTCCCTATGACAATAAAGGGACACTGGAAATATGGTACTTAATGTTCAAGGTCCCAGGGTCAAATTTTAAATACAGGATGTTTTATTGGAAACTTATTTTCCAGGCTTCCTTAAGGCCCTGAACTCTGCTCAACACTAACAGAGTCAACAGAGTAGGTTTTCTACACTAAATTCTATTCTGTAAAACACATACACTGATGTGCTGTTATAAGCCAATAGAGTTCTTTTTTTTTGAGATTAAGTGTCACTCTGTTCCCTAGGCTAGAGTCCCGTGGCATCAGTCTACCTCACAGCAACCTCAAACTCTGGGCTCGAGCGATCCTCCTGCCTCAGCCTCCCGAGCAGCTGGGGCTACAGGCATGCGCCACCATGCCCGGCTAATTTTTTCTATATAGATTTTTAGCTGTCCAAATAATTTTTTTCTATTTTTAGTAGAGACGGGGTCTCGCTCTTGCTCAGGCTGGTCTCGAACTCCTGAGCTCAAATGAATCCACCTGCCTTGGCCTCCCAGAGTGCTAGGATTACAGGCGTGAGCCACTGCACCCAGCCGCCAATAGAGTTTTATCTTCTTGCACAGAGATTAATACAGACTCACTCTGTATTTCTGATGACAAACAAAAATAATAGCTGCTGTTCTTTGAGCACCTGTTGGGTGCAAGGGACTGTCTTAACAATTGCCTCTGAAGTAAGGATTATTATTCTCTTCACTTTACAGAGGAAGAGGAATTAAAGGCCCAGAGAGGCTGCAACATCTGCCCAAGGTCACATGGTGGGCAACTGTGGAACTCAGATTCAAACCAGGCTTTTATGGCTCTAAAACCTATGCTCCTTCCTCAGGTTTTAGGATGCTGACCCCTGGAGTCAGAACTTTTGGGGGAGTTACACCTATTCTCACTTACTGACGTCCCATGATATTCATACTGTTCGTAGTCAAAGAGGATGTCTCTTCTGCAATGACATAAAACGCAAGTCTTCAACAGGGAGCAGCAGTACAGGAAGCCAAAACATTTGGAAAAATGCTAAAACTTGACAGTATTTGAAGAAATGCAAATTAAATCATGGTACTACTTGTTTTCACTTATCGACTCTTTAGCAGGAGGTATCCGTACAATGCCAGGAAGCCAACAGAAACCACATGTGGTAAGGTATGATGTAAAGTGGTATAGTTCCAGAATCCCACTTCTGAGAAATTATCCCAAAACCACAATTCAAAGAAACAAGCAAGACAAAACTTGCTGTGTGCACAGTTATTCATTGCAGCCTTATTTGTAATGACAAAAATACTAGAAATAACCAACATTTCAAAAAGAAGGAAAATTGCCAATTAAGTATTGTGCACTTTAGAAAAGCTGGTCAGAATTATCTAAAATGGTTATATAAAGTAGAACAATGCAAAGTCACATGCATATTTGATTAGGTAAAATAGGCACAAGTCTGGATAACCCAGGAAGGGAAATCCAAATGCAGAATCTCTTTGAATTAGGCAGTGAGATTATGGATTATTTTCACTTTTCTTTCCCTACGCTTCCTGAAATGGTTTCACATCGTCCTCCTATGAGGGGGTGGCCTTCCCTGCCAAGGCCAGCCGGCAGGAGTGCACATCCTCAGCGGGAACGGGGGGTTGGGAGGGACATTGGCTGGATGGCCCTGTGAAACTTTCCATGAGGGATCCATGGATCCAGCAAGGAATTCTCCCGAGACCCACCTCGAGGACACTGCTGCATGTTCACCTCAAGCTAGAATAACTTTTCCAATATTTTCACTTTAAAGCACTTCAATTTTTTTTACATTTCCAATAGGAAGAAGAATTATGGATGACTGTTTCTTTTTCATGCTTTTGTTCTATGAAATATTTTACATAATTGGCATCATAGAATTTGTAAATAAAAATATCTACATCTGAAAAACCCAGTAAAAATAAAGAGTCAGGGGCCGTGGCCCCTAACAGATGGCATGTACGTGGGAGGCCACAAAGGCCTGTCCTGTCACTCTTGGGACCAGAGGACAACCCAGAGCCCTTCCCCAGTGCAGTGGTCACATGGTCACCCCTGGAACTACCAGCCCAGAGGTTCTAAACTACTAATAAATGAATTACAGGATATAAGAAAACAGGTGTCAGTGGCACCATAGACTCCAGGGCAAGGGGGCTCCTGGTGTCAGGAGCTGCTTCACCTGCAAACTCACCTCCGGGCCTCCCACTCTCTCCGCTGCCGCTGTCTCCTGGTTTGCTCCACTATCTCCTGGCGTGGGGACAAAGAGAACAGAAGGTGGAGCAAACATGCCATGGCCTGAGAAGGTTCCAATTTGGCAGAAGCCACTGGGGCTCAGACCCCTGAAGGAGAACATGGTCATCCCCACGTCCCGAGTGCACCTGTTTCCGGGGAAGGGAGGAGCTCAGGCAGGGGTGCTGGGACTCCTGCTCCCCCAGCATTGCAGACACCATGGACAGAAGGGGCTGAGGCTACCCCCTATATCTGTCCATTCCATCCGGCCACTGCTCACAGCACCATGGGATCTGGGGTAAACCCACACTCCCCTCGCACCAGCTTCCCCATCAGGATTCACGAGAGCTGATGTTTCTTGCATTCTACTGTGTGCTAACAACTATTCCGACTCTACACGCACCATCCATTTCATCCTCACGACAAAGGCATGGGATAGGGTGGTGGTTCTAAAAATCCATGGTCCTGAGACTTCTGCTTCCAGGAAGTAGAGTAGATGTATTTTTCCCTACATGTCCACTAAATATATCTATAACCCCTGGACGTTATAGAAAAACCAAACTAAGCAAGACCCTGAAAAGTAGAGGTAAGGCAAACCAGTTAGGGACTCTGGGACCTGAGGAACGACATGGCAGTATATTCCCCTGGATTTTCTTTTTGGCTCATATATCCCAGGTTTGGGACTGAAGAAGCCAACGAGCTGGAAACACAAACAAAAAAAAATCCCATTTAGCCAAAGGACCACGAAGGAACAGCCTAGACAGAAAACTATTAGGCAATAACTACTCCAGCCAACACCACTGAAACCACACGCACCCACCCTGGCAAAGACAGAGTGGGAGCCTAGACTACGCCGTTTGCAAAGCTGTAACAGGCACCCCAACCCTCTGCCCGGCGGTGTCAGAGCAGCCAAGGAAGGAGCCAACTTACACTCCCACTGGTGGGTGACAAGCACACACTCCAACCCTGTCCCAATGGTGGACTTCCACCTCTCCCAGTAATGAGGCACGCCTTCCCCTCCCTGCTGAGGGGGTTAGAGGGGCAAGGCAGGGAGCCTGGACCTTCACTGCCCAGTGGTAACAAGGTGTCACTCCCTCAGTGTCAATGGAGGCCACGTGGGGAACCTGAACTTCTACCTCCATCCAGTGCCACCACCTGCTCCTTGGCAGAGCAGTGTTAGAGCAAGGCAGCTAAAACAGAGGATTTAAATAAGACCCAGACTCTCATAACAGGATACAAAAACATTCAGGTTTCATTCGAAAAGCACTTATCATGCAAAGAATAAGGATGGTCTAAAACTAAATGAAGAAAGACAGCCCATAGATGCCAACACCAAGATGACAGACCGTTAGAATGAGCTAACCAAGATTTTAAAGCCACCACCATAAAGTCAATTACAAATATGACTCTAACAAATGGCAAATGGGAAGTCTCAGCAAAGAAACAGGAGACATAAAGACGGGCCAAATGGAAAGTTTAGAAGTGAAATTGAAAGTTGAAAAATACAACTGGAATGTTAACTCAGTGAACAGGTTCGGGAGCAGAACAGAAAGGACAGAGGAAAGAATCAGTAAATTGGCAGATAGAAAGATTGAAACTACGCGGACTGAACAACAGAGAGAAAACAGACCAAAAAAAAAAACCAGATCCTAAGGGACCAGTGGGACCACAACAAAATATCTAACATTCACATCATTGTACCGCGGAAGGAGAGAAAGAGGGTGGACGCTGAAAACATACTTGAAGAAATAAAGGCCATAAAATTTGGCACAATGGCCTGGCACGGTAGCTCATACCTATAATCCCTGTACTTTGGGAGGCCAAGGTGGGAGGATTGCTTGAGCCCAGGAGTTCCAGACCAGCCTGGCAATAGTGAGACTCCGTCGATACAAAAAATAAAAAAAATTTAGCCAGGCAAGGTGGCCAAGCCTGTAGTCCCAGCTACTCAGGAGGCTGAGGCAGGAGAATCATTTGAGCCCAGGAGTTGGAGGCTGCAGTGAGGTATGATGATACCACTGCACTCCAGCCCAGATAACAGTAAGACCCTGTCTCCAAAAAAAAAAAAAAAAAAAATTCACATAAACCTATAGACTTAAGAAGCCGAGTGAACCCCAAAAAGGATAAATCCAAAGAAATCCACATCAAGACACATCATAATTAAACTTCTGAACACTAAAACAGAACAAAATAAAACAAATCTCAGGCCTGGCGTGGTACCTCATGCCGGTAATCCTAGCACTCTAGGAGGCCGAGTCGGGAGGATCACTTGAGGTCAGGAGTTGGAGGCCAGCCTGAGCAAGAGCAAGACCCCATCTCTACTAAAAATAGAAAGAAATTAGCCAGACAACTAAAAATAGAAAAAATTAGCCGAGCGTGGTGGTGCATACCTGGACTCCTAGCTACTTGGGAGGCTGAGGCAGGAGGATCACTTGAGCCCAGGAGTGTGAGGTTGCTGTGAGCTAGGCTAATGCCACAGCACTCTAACCCAGGTGAGACTCGGTCTCAAAAAAAGAAAAAAAAAAACAAAACCAAATCTCAAAAACAGCCAAAGAAAAATGATACCTTACCTACAGGGGAAAAACAATTCGAATGGCAGAGGATTTCTCATCAGAAACCACGGAGGCCAGAGGAAGTGGCACAATAGTTTTCAAGTGCTAAAAGAAAATAATTATTAACCCAGAATCTTACACCCAGTAAAAATAGCTTTCAGGAATGAAAGGAAAACCAAGAAATTCTCAGAAGGAAAACAACTAAAGAGAATTTACCACCAGCAGATCTCCCCTAAAGGAATGGTTAAAGGAGGTTCTTAAATAGAAAAGAAACAGAAAAGAAGAAACTTTGTAAATAGATAAGGAAGAAAAACTACGATAAGCAAAGATTAGGTAAATATAATAGGCTTTCCTTACCTTCGTAAGTTGTACAACTATGATTACTGAAGCAAAATTACATCATTGTAAATGTGGAGGAAACGCTTAAGAAAATTGTGTTATAAAAGAGGCTGAGTAAGCACATAAAGGAAGGTAAGATTTCTACATTTGACTCGAACTGGTAAAATGATGACACCAGTAGACAGATGAGTCGTGGATTATAATGTAATACCTGGAACAACCACTCAGATAATCTGTACATCTCTTCTGGGTCTCTAGTCAGAAAACAAAAGTAAAAAAATAAATAAGCAAAAACAAGAATAAAAAATCTAAGCAAGGAGATATACTCACAAACACTAGAAGTAAATTGAAACAGAATTCTAAAAAACAAAGAAACAAAAAAACCCCCAGAAACGAAAAACAGAGAAAACAACAGAAAACAAAATGCCAGACCTAAGGCCTAACATATCAATAATTAGAATAAATATAAACAGGCTAAGTACATCAATTAAAAGGCAGGGATTAGCTTTAAAAAATATGATGAAAATATGACCCTTTGCTGTTTTGCTTCATGAGTTTTTTAAAAAAATAACCCAACTATGTGCTGTTTAAAAAATTCACTACAAATGTCACGATACGGGCAAGATGAAAGTAAAGGATATGAAAAGCTACATCATGCAAACAGTAATCAAAGGAAAGCAGGAGTGGTGAAATCGGTATCAGACTCCAGAGCAAAGAAAATTACCAGAGACACAGAGGGACACTAAATAAATGAAAGTATCCATCTGCCAACAGGATACAACAATCCTAAATATGTGTGCACAAAACGAGCTATAAATTATGTGAGATAAAAATCCACAGAACTGTAAGAAGAAACAGACAAATCTATACTCACAGTTGGAGTTTTCCATGCCCCTCTCTCAAGAATGGAAAGAATAACTCCAAAGAAAAGCAGCATGCAAAGAAGAACTCAATAGCGCCACCAACTAACAGCTATTGAAATTTCTAGAACAGTCCACCCAACAACAGCAGAATACATATTTCTTTTAGTGATTGTAAATGGTATTGTATTTTGAATTTTTGTGTCCGTGTGTTCATTGCTAGTATACGGAAATAAAATTGATTTTTGTATGTTTGTATGTAGGTGTAAATCTAATAAAACATACACAGAATTTGTGCACTAAAAACTGCACAATGCCGATGGAAGTAAAAAAATGAATGAACTACTGATACACGCTACAACTTGGATGATCTCCAGAGAATTATGCTGAGTGAAAAAGCCAATCCCAAAAGGTTTTATGCTGTATGACTCCATTTCTATTTAAATAACATTGCTGAAATGACAATATTGTAGAAATAGAGAAAACCTCTAGTGGTTGCCAGGGGCTGAGGAGGGGGTAGGGGCAGAAGGGAGGTGGGTGTGGCTATAAAAGGGCCCGGGGAGGGATCGTTACAGTGAAGGGAGTGTTTTGTATCCATGTCAATATCCTGATCGTGACATTGCACTACACTATGTGACCATTAGGGGAAACCGGGCAAAGTACATGGGTGATCTCTCTCTATCACCAGTCCCCAACCTTTTTGGTACCAGGGACCGGTTTCATGGAAGACAATTTTTCCACAGACCAGGGGCCAGGATGGTTTTGGGATGATTCAAGCACACTACATTTATTGTGCAGTCAAACTTCCTTGCTAATGATAATCTGTATTTGCAGCCACTCCCCAGCGCTAGCATCAGAGTGTGCAACCTGGATCCCTCGCACGCACAGTTTACAGTAGGGTTTCTTGCTCCTATGAGAATCTAATGCCCCCACTGATGCTGATCTGACAGAAGGTGGAGCTTATGCAGTGATGCAAGTGATGGGGAGCGGCTGTAAATACAGATGAAGTTTTTCTTGCTTGCCTGCCGCTCACCTCCTGCTGTGCGGCTGGTTCCTAACAGGCTACGGACAGGTAAAGGTCCTTGGCCCAGGGGTTGGGGATCGCAGCTCTGTATTACTTCTTACAACTGCATGTGAATCTACAATGATCTCAAAAGAAAAAGCTTAATTAAAAAAAAGCCATGGTCCTGATGAGGGACCTTTTTTGGGGTAATGGAACCGTTCTCCAACATGATGTAGTAACATGACTTTACACATTTGTTAAATCTCAGCGAATTACATACCTGGTGATTTGTGTAGAAATTATGCCTCCATAAAGTTGATTTAACAAAACCTCCACAGCCCAAGATTTCTTCAGTTCTTCCGGGTAGGGTCCTGTCCCCTCCCCTGTGCCTATAGGATACTGAGGGACTCCAGCGTCAGTCACGAGAGCCAGGCAATGGCTGCCCCGTTGACTGCAAGATTCCTGCTGGGAGCCTGAGCTGTCGTGTTGTGAGGAAGCCACATGCAATGAGGAGACCCCTGCAGGTGCCTGGCTCAGCAATCTGGCTTGGAGCCACCCCAGCAAACCAGGTGACTGACATAAGAGCCAATGATTTCTATGCTCTCAGGTTTTAAGTCCTCAGTGGAGGCTCCAGACGTCACAGAGCAGAAAGATGCTATGCCACCCCTGCTAGGCTCTGCCCAAATTCTTATTGACAGAATCCACGAGCATAGGAAAGTGGTTGATTTAAGCTGCTAAATTTTGGAGTAATTTGTTAAACACTAGTAGGAACCTAAACAGTTAAGTCCGATTATTATCTTCATTTTACAGACACACAAAGAAGGTATGTCACTTGCCTGAGGTCATACAGCTGTAATGGCAGATCTAAAATGTCAATCCGGCAACCTGAGCCAGCATATAACACCGTTAGATTAAGTATAATTATGCATATTTTATAGAGAAATCTCACCTTTGCTAGGGTCCAGCTTTAAAGTTCCACTTTTTTGAGAAGAGGGAAAAGATCTCACTCTGTTGCCTGGGCTAGAGCGCAGTGGCGTCATCATAGCTCACTGCAACCTCCAACTCCTGGTCTCCAGTGATCCTCCTGCCTCAGCCTCCTGAGTAGTTGGGACTACAGGCGCATGCCATCACACCCCGCTAATTTTTCAATTTTCTGTAGAGACAGGGTCTCACTATGTTGCTTAGGCTGGTCTCAAACTCCTGGCCTCAAGTGATCCTCCCACCTCGGCGGAGGTGTGAGCCACCATACGTAGCCTTAAAGTTCCATCTTTAAAAGACAAACAAAAGGCCAGGTGCGGTGGCTCACACCTGTAATCCTAGCACTCTGGGAGGCCGAGGCGGGCGGATTGTTTGAGCTCAGGAGTTCGAGACCAGCCTGAGCAAGAGCGAGACCCCATCTCCACTAAAAATAAAAAAAGAAATTAGCTGGACAACTAAAAATATATAGAAAAAAATTAGCTGGGCATGGTGGCACATGCCTGTAGTCCCAGCTACGGGAGGCTGAGGCAGAAGATTTGCATGAGCCCAGGAGTTGGAGGTTGCTGTGAGCTAGGCTGACACCACGGCACTCTATCCTGGGCAATAGAGTGAGACTCTGTCTCAAAAAAAAAAAAACAAGACAAACAAAAGCTATTCTTGATCCCATGTCTCCTCTGCTCTCTTTATAGCAAAAGTCTTTGAAAAGATTATTTATAACCTGCTGTCTCCAAACCTCTTTGAATATGTACCCCATTAATAAAAGTATTTCTGAGAATATACCTCTAATATGCATATACCTATAAATCATGCAGATTTTAATTATATAAAAAGTATTCTGGCAGGGTGCATTGGTTCATGCCTATAATCTCAGTACTTTGGGAGGCCGAGGAGGGAGGATTGCTTGAGGCCAGGAGTTCGAGATCAGCCTGAGTGACAGTGACACTCCACCTCTACAAAAAAATAGAAAAATTAGCTAGGCGTGGTGGTGCACACCTGTAGTCCCAGCTACTGGGGAGGCTAAGGCAGGAGGATCGCTTGAGCCCAGGAGTTTGAGGCTGCAGTGAGCTATGATGGTGCCATTGTACTCTAGCTGGGCCACAGAGCAAGACCCTGTCTCAAAATAAACAATCAAACCAAAAAAACCCTACAAAACCCAAAACAAAGCAAAGAAAGTATTTTAAAAACGCCTTAATCTTATAAAATCAAGCCTCTAGATCTAACACACAGGTCATAGAAAATTCAGGGATAGAGAAGCAAGTTAAATTACTCCATAAAGAAGCAAATAATAAATACTAGAAAACAGGACTGTCCTCCAATGTCATTAAAAACAAAAGAAAAAAAGAGGTGGAGGGTAGAATACAGTTCTAGGTTAAAAGACAGTAAAGAGAAATAGCCAAATGTGTCATCCTTGATTGGAGGATAGTTCACAAATAAAAATAGCTGCAAAACGTATTTTGAGGAGGATTAAAGAAACTTGAATATGGGCTGAATATTACACAAAATTAAGACACTATTCATTTCTTTTTTTTTTTTTTTTTTTTTTTTTTTTGAGACAGAGTCTCACTCTGTTGCCCGGGCTAGAGTGAGTGCCATGGCGTCAGCCTAGCTCACAGCAACCTCAGACTCCTGGGCTCAAGTGATTCTCCTGCCTCAGCCTCCCAAGTAGCTGGGACTACAGGCATGCACCACCATGCCCGGCTAATTTTTTTCTATATATTTTTAGCTGTCCAATTAATTTCTTTCTATTTTTGGTAGAGACGGGGTCTCGCTCTTGCTCAGGCTGGTCTCGAACTCCTGAGCTCAAACAATCCGCCCGCCTCGGCCTCCCAGAGTGCTAGGATTACAGGCGTGAGTCACCGTGCCCAGCCCTATTCATTTCTTATGTATGATAATTGTGTTGTGTTTATGGGGGAGAATGTCCTTATTCTTAGGAGGTGCATATGGAAGAATTTATAGGAGAATATCCTGGTGTCTGTAATTTATTCTCAAATGATCCCACAAAAAAACAACAACAAGAAAAAATGCCTAGAAAGAGAGAAGGCAAACATGGCAATTGGGAACAGCTGTGGACTCTAGATGGAAGGTAAATGGATGTTCACTATACTATCCTCTCAACCACTGTATACATTTGAAAATATTTCAAAATAGAAAAGTTGGTGGGAAATTACACGTATATCATGAATATTATGTAAAGCATTTACAAACACAGATTCCAAACAGATGTGTCAAGAATGTAAACGGGAGCTCTAATATGTTCTTATTTCTCACCAAGATGACTGACAGTCTCTTTGTGGCCAAACCCACTGGTCAGTTCTCATCTGCCTGTTTCTCTGGCGCTGCTGGCCACACCCACCTAGACACCTTCTTTGCATCTGGGAGCTGTTGTGCCTGTGCATGCTCCGCCTGGGAATCCTCCTGGCTCCTCACTCAGGTCTCTGGTCAGGGGTCCATAACTACCACTGCAGAAACCACTACCCCATTCCTTCTGCCCTCACCCTGCTTTCCACCTGAAACCACCCTCTGATTGTGCTCATTTTACACGCTCAGTGTCTGTCTTCCCTGCTGGAAAGCTTCACAAGGGCAGGACTTTGCTTTCTTCCTTGTACGCCAGGGCCTGACTGGTACCTGCACATAGTAGGTGTTAAAAAAATATTTGCTTATGAGAGTGGAGAATCCCAAGACTTATCAAAAAATGAGCATTCGGAGAACAAAAAAGAGGTCTTGGAAATTGAAGATTAGAAGACCAAAAAGTCTGCCAGAAAGCACAAAAAACAGACAAAGAGCTGGGTAAGGGGAAAGAAAATTAAGAGTGGGTCCAAAAGGCCCCCACAAGACCACCTTGTGAAAAAGACCTTCTCCAAGGACAGAAGAACACACCTTGCCTGAAGAACACCACTCCTTCCCCAGATGGAGAGAATGTCCTAACTGTCCAAAACACGGCTGCAAAGGTCTCAGCTAAAGCATATTATTGGGAAACGTCAGGTTGAGGTTGAAGGGAAGACCCTAAAACATTCCAGAAGCAAATTCCAGGTCACACACCAAGGATCAGGAGCCAGAGGGCATGAGCTCCTTCAACAGCAACGCTGAACGCTGAATAAAACATGGCCCTTGTGCTAGAGGAACAGCCACCTCCCACCTGTAATTCTGCATCTAGCAGACCTGCAGCCTTGGGTCGGCCCCTTCTGTTGACTGAGCCCCAGATCGCTAAGTAGCTCAGATCCAAGGCCCACATGGTGCAAACCACTGACATCTTCATGTGCAGATGCTGCCCCTGGAGTGACCATTTGGGACTGGACCTAGCCAAGGGCCACAGAACCACATTACTCCTCTGTAGTGACTGCACAGTGAGCAATGCTGAAGGAGGGCTGAGAAGGAAGGGGAGGTTTTCGCTATTTATTGTTTCTCTATAGCACTTCTTTGCTATCTTGCCACAGAGATAGCAAAGCTTCATTCATCTGAAAGGATCCTACTGGAAAGATAAAGGCAGTGCCACAGAGACGTCCAGTCACCTGCCTGTAGCTACACAGCCAGGGGACAGCAGAGCCCAGGGTCAGTCCCCATGCCTGCTAACTCCTCCACTTCCTACTGCCCCACCACCCCAGTTACGCCTGGGCCTAGCAGGCTCTAGAGAGGACCTCTGACCTCTGGGAGTACCAGTTCCTCCAGGATGCTATGAGAGGCCCAAACACACCTCTTCTAACCGTGTGCGCTTCTCAGAAGGCTCTGACCCAGAAGGCTCTGATCCATCGCTGTCATTTCCTGAATGCTCTTCATTCTCCTCTTCATCCCTGAAGATGTCATCGTAGGCGGGAACTTCAAGGTCATCATCTTGTTTAATGAGTAATTTGATCTAAGTTTAAAACAAAAGGCAATCAGGTCTCCCCTATCGCCATCACAGCGTGTTTTTCTCCTGTAGAATCTTATTGTTTCCTAATTAGGTGACTCATAGTTTCCGGCACATACAAATAGCTACCTATTTAAGAAGACTTCCAGACTTCTCAGGAATTTTCTTGTTTTTACTACCACTCAGTGAGGTGCTGGAGTTGCACCACACCCAGTATAGAGAAATTATGAAAACCTGAAAACAATTTTTTGTTTTGTAGATGGTTTTCCATCTGCAGTCTGCTTAAGTCTGGAAAGGCAGCTCCCTCTAATGGCACACGTCGACAAGATGAATGCCCCACAGCATGGCCTCTGAGAGAGGACAGGAAGATGTGTGACCCCTAAGTGAATAGAGCTCCTGTCTCTAAAAGCAATTCCAGGCTGATTTCTCTTAAAGAGGTTGCTCACATGAGAATTTCGGGGCCCAGCACCTTGTGGGTGGGAAAATATCAAGTCAGAGAATGCTTAGGTAGCCACTCTGTGCCAAGGTGCAGGCTCACTGCACAGGGGTTCAAAGAGTAAATGCAGTAGGGCTACAGGGTTCTTGTCCCTGTACCTCCCAGGTCAAGTCAATTCCACAGATGCATTCTGAGCACCTCCAAGGGTGAGGTGCTGCATCTCTTGTCAAAGATGGACAAGAACAAGTTCGTGTGCTCAGGCTGCTCCCACATCCATAGGGGAGTCAGATACATGCCTTGCCAAGAACATCAGGTGCAACATTGTATGTGGCCTAAAAAGGTGCAGACAGGTTGAGGGGAGAGCACAGAAAAGGTGACGCCACAAAGGCCTGCATACCTGAGTGTCATTGTACACATTCACAACGTTGACTGGCCTGTGGGTATCACACACAAAGAATATAGTGTCTTCGTCAGGTTGAAGGATATCCAATAGGTCTACATTAGCTCCACAGTTTATGAGAACAAAATAATGGAACTGGAAAAAGAAGGGAGATATTATAAAGCAACTGCATCGAGGGCGTCCCTTTCCCACATTAGGCCTCTGAGTCCTTCTGCTGAGACAGGGTAAGCCCCTGACATGTGGCAAGGCCCAGATGGCAAGGGGCTCCAAAAATGGCCCCGCTGGCATGTTAAATGCTCAGTGACACTGTGGGGTAGGCCTTGTGGCCCTCCTTGCTTTCCCAAGGAGTATGAGGAGCACACTGAGGCTCAGAAGGCCCCAGCCTCATGCACAGGGCCAATGAGCAGACCACGACTTCAAACATGGAGTGGTATATCTCCAGATCGCACAGTCCTGTGCTGCCGTATCTCCATGTGAATGGCACTGCACAGGTTTAAATTCTTAGCAAATACTTTATGGGTACCTAAATATTAAGTCCTTTATCAAACTCTATCACTATAGTGAATTCTTTCCTTATAAATACCAAACAGGTACAGGTTCCTGACATGATGACAGGAATTCCAGGTGAAAATTTACTTCTGCCAAAACAGTGCTAGATGTGGCAGGAACTCTAGGGACCCTCTTCCACGCCCCAGCGCCTCTCTGTGGGGCCCACAAGGAGGTAGGAAGAACCCTGGCCTCTACTGTTTAAATTCAAAAGGGAGAATAAACGTTCCTGGACTTCAATTTGGAAAGTAGGATGCATTTTCTTAGAGAGATGATGTAAATAGTGGCATATTCTAAAATAATTTTTTAACCAGGCCATATTAAAAACTGCTAAATTCTAAGCACCTTACAATCAAATTACAAAACAAGTTCAAAGTTAGGAGCTGTTCACATTCAGTATCTTCTTTTGTTGTCAATTTTGTCTCTACAACTTGAGGGTAAACCACCAGTGTATACAGAGCATGTTTTTCCTTTCCATATTGCTTATTATGGCTGACACTTAAATACACACTCAACCTATTGTGGGACTAGAAAGAATGTTAAGTGTTAAGAACTTGCCATCAAGTAAAAAAGCCTAATAATTCTAAAACACATGTTTCATACCTGTGCTTTATGCTCAAGAAATGCAGTTTCAAGTTCTTGCCACCCAGCAACTGGAACGAGTGTGTATTGCACGTGGTCACACTGGAACAGGGCCTGGAGAGAGAGTGTTTTCAAAGCCTATCTTATTTAAGATGTCTGCAATACACCTTGAAATGCACCAGAAAAAAACTGGGTGGGTTGAGAGACAAAAGACGTGTGATAATGTAAGGTTAGTGCAACGTTAATGGGAAAAGCTAGGTGGTGAAAATATGAGTGTTCACCATACCGTTCTGTCAACTTTGCTGAATTTTTGAGAATTACCTAAGTAAAACATTGGGAGAAAAGGTGATCTTATTTCCAGGTCTTCTGAGAAGAACTGCCTGACCCAAGGGACTGAACAAAACTCAATGTAAACAGTGCGCCCTATTCAGAACCAAACTAATGCTTTTCCCTAAGACTAGTATTTCCAGCACCGCATATGACACCACTATGCCCTCAGATGTCACCGATTCCTCTCTCAGACCCCGCATTTGAGAGGCCACTACAGGTCCAAAGGTCTCCCAAATGCAAGCATTTTTTTGGCCTAGGTCATTGCAAAACTACAAACAAGCCTCCTCGCCCTATCTAATCCTTCTCTAACCCACCCAACATCGTCCAAACAGGAAGGCGACCTCTCAGAGTCTCCAAGTCCTCTCACCTGCTCCTCACCTCCTGCCCCGCTAAGCCCTCAGCTCCCGTCTCAACTCCGAGCCCACCTGAACCTCCACCTCTCGCCCCGGCCCCGCCCTCCCACGGTCCGCAAAACTCACCTGAAGGATCTTGCAAGCGCACAGAGCATCCACGTCCGAGGCCACGAAGAGGAGGACCCTCTGTCAGGGGAAGAGCGAGGGGGCTGAGCGCGGCGACCCGACCAGGGCCCCTCCCCGCCCTCCCGGTCACAGCGGCTGCTCCCCCCATCCCTTCCCCCCGACCTGGCCTCGGCCGGGATCCGGGGCTAGGAGTCACCTGGCTCTGGACCACCTCATAGAACTCTTTGCGGAAATCGGACACGAACATAGCCACGGTGGCCAGAAGCCTTGAGCTCGCGCTGAGACACCTAGAGCGTCGGCGGCGGTCAAGACTCCCGCCAAATCACTGCTCTTCCCGGATTGGCCCAGGGATCACCAACCAATAGCTTCTTAGTTTCCAGCATTTCCTCCTTTCTGATTGGGCCATTTGGGGGCGGGTACTGGCATTTCGCCAATCATGGCTGGGACATTGCAGCCCGCCCCCAAGGACGCGTAATCTCTGAGGCCGGTCGCAAACCCCGTAGCCCCTTCATCGCTGACTTGTTTTTACCCAGAAACCCAACGCTCGGCAGACATCTTTACTTTGGGAAGAGAAGCCTACTGCCTCCTACCGGGAATCCCAGGGAAAATACACTTCTAGGTATAAATTAAATTCCGCCATCTAACGAATAAGGGCGGCAGTTAGTTTTCAATAGGTTCTTGGTCTAGTTTGAAGGCGGATGTGTACCTTACTTCCGCCCGAGTCCTCGATGGCTGAAGGAATGACCAAGAAAGTTTTACGTACATTCTGGGTAGTGTAGTCGTCAGGAGAATGGGCCCTACTAAATTCGTCTGGAGGGGAGTACGATCAAAACGTCATTTAAAATAATTTTCAAATTACCTCTAGACTGGGAGACAAGTTAGGAAAGAGTATTATAATATTAATGCTAAGGAGATTTTAGAGGCTAGGGCCTTTGCCTGTTTTTTTTTCCCGTTTGGAGCCAACGCTTGGCCTCGGCACCTCCCCTCGGGTCACAGGCCCGGCATTTCCGGTGAGCCTGCCGGGGCGTCCCGGCTTCCGGGCGGCGGCTGCGGCGAGAGCAGTCGGCGGGCTCCTTTCTTAACGTCTTCTGAGAGAAGCGGCGCCTGCGAGACGGTGTTCATCATGGTAAGCGCTGCTGGGCAGGGTCGGGGAATGGGGGATGGGACTAGGGCCCGAGCTAGGCGCGGGGGACGGGACGGCGACGGAGATGCCGAGTCACTCGGGCCTGAGTCCGGCCTGTCTTGCCGATCCCGGGCGCTGGCCGGACCCTTGACCACGAACTGTCCCTGGTCCCATTCGCGTGTCGGGTGCTTGGTTCGCATTCCCTCTCAGCGGGGCTTGTTCTTCTGGAGGGTAAAAAGGAGTCTGCATTTGTGTCCACCCGTGGGTCTCGAAAGTGCCAGACACGCAACAGGTTCCGTAAACACAAAGTTAGTGGGAAGGTGTGAGGGGTGGGGACAGAACCAGGCGCTCCCCAGGGAGAATCCGTGGGGGACATCCTCGTGGCGAGGACACCCAGCTCTTGCCCCAGTTCCGCGAACTCTGTGCCTCCGGGCTCGTGTCTTCGGATGGATACAGCGATGCTGTGTTCGGTAATGATAGCGATAGTAGCTGATATTTGCTGATGCTTTTCCCGTTAGTTTTTCTTTAATACTTGTAGTCCCTCATCACACCTTCTTCTCTTTAATCCCTACAACAATAATCCTCGGAGGCAAGGATTATTATTATCATTTTAACCATGAGAAAACTAAAGTTTACAGAGATCGTTCACTCGAAGTCACAGAGGTGAAGAGTGGAGATTTGAAGCCAAGTCTGTCTGGCTGCAAAGCTTTCTCATTACCACTGTACAGCATTACCTTTATGTCACCTGTTTATTTCAGTAAAAACAATGAATGAGTATTAGATCTTATCCTAAGTTTGTCACTGTCAAATCATGTTTCTGTTCCCAAGTTTGTCCATTTAACAGACACTGAAAACCTGATCTGTGCCAGGCAATGTGCTAAGTATTGGGATAATAAAGAAAAGTAAGACATGGGGTAGGGAGCAGCAAGGAAGGAGCAGAAGGTCAGGTTCATGGGCGAATTGGAGGCATGTTGTTAAGAGTGCTGGGTACTTTGTGCATGTTTCCCTTTCATGTTGCGAAGAGAAGAAATGGCTTAGATAGGGTGGCATAAGGAGAGACACTCAGGGGAAGCCTTTTACTCCCTCTGGCTTTGTTCATCCAGAAAGACTGTTTCATTTGTTATGCTTCTGGGCAATATTTAGTTGAACCTAATTCTGCTTAAAAGAAGAAAGAGAGACCAAGATTGAAAATTACTGTGCTAGAGTTCCAGGGAATGAAGAACCAACCAAGATTTTAGGCAGAAGCATGCTATATTTGCATTTTAGGAAGATAGCTGATTAAGCTTGCTAATTTTGAAATTGCTAGTAAAGGACTTTATCAGTTGGTGGCTTTCCCTCTGCTTAATGTATATTGGAACCAAGTCAAGAAATATTTGTTTATTATGACAATTTTTTTTAGTTGTGGTTAAAAAAAATAACAAATTTTACCATTGTAACCATTTTTAAGTTTATAGTTCCATAGTGTTAAATATTTCACATGGTTGTGCAACAGACATCCAGAACTTTTTCATTTTGCAGAAGTGAAACTCTTCTCATTAAACAATAGGTCTCCATTTCCCCCTCCCCATAACCCCTGGAAACCCTTATTCCACCTCTGTCTCTGTGAATTTGGTTACTTTAGGGGCTTCATATAAGTGGAATCATTTAAAGTGTGACTGGCTTATTTTACTTAGCATGACGTCCTCAAGGTTCATCCGTGTTATTATAGCACGTGACGGGATTTCCTTTTTAAGGCCAAATAATATTCCATTGTCTGGCCACATTTTGTTTATTCATTCATCTGTTGGGGTTCTTCCACCTTTTGGCTGTTGTGAACGATGGTGCTGCAAATATGGGTGTGCAAATATGTCTTTGAGATCCTGCTTTCAATTCTTTTGGATATATACCTGCTTCAGGAAACTCTCAGACTGTGTTCTTGCACTGCAGTAATCATCACATAAGAAGACTTCTGCGACCAAATGTGAAGTTTTTCTTTACACACCATGCAGTGAACACCAGCTGGTGTCTGATGCTATCTACCTGGAGAAAGTATCATATTCCTCAGGGTGAGGGCTCAGTCCCCAGACAACAGTCACAATGCTAGGCCTGCAGAACTTTTGACCAACCAGCTTCAAGTTGGGGTTCCCCCAGCCCCGTCTTTGGGCTCAATTAATTTGCCAGAGCGGCTCACAGAGCTCAGGGAGGCAATTAATGATGTTAGCCAGTTTATTGTAAAGGATATTACGATGGATACAGATGAAGAGATGCGTAGGGTGAGGTATGGAGTAGGGGTGCACCACCCTCCAGGAACCTTCATGTGTTCAGCTATCCAAAAGCTCTCCAAACCCAGTCATCTTGGGTTTTTATGGATAACCGTGTCCAAATGTGATTAGCCTTTAGGGTGTGGGGTGGGACCCTCTCTGGAATAAAGGTCTTAGGACCCACAATCAGAAGGGTGGTGGAAGATTGAAGTCCTGCCTTGAGGCAGATGAAGGTCAGAGAGAGTCTGTTTCCTGAGGCTGCTCCTGAGGCTTAACACACCCAACATTATAACAAAAGACCCTAAAAAGAGCTATGGGAGCTTTCAGTTGGGAAAAGCTATATATATAGTTTTGTTATTATATATATATATGTATATATGATATGTATATAAAATAATACCACAATACCCTGTCGTGAGATTTTATATTCTTTTTAAAAGTCATAATTATTACAATATAGTAGACCCCCCTTTATCCTTGGTTTTTGCTTTCCGTGGTTTCAGTTACCCAGGGTCAACCGTGGTCTGAAGATATTAAGATACTTTGAGAGAGAGGGACCACATCCACGTAACTTTTTTTTTATAGTATATTGTTATAACTGTTCTGTTTTATTATTAGTTGTTAATCTCTTAGTGTGCCTAATTTATAAATTAAAATTCTGGGGACGGGGTGGAGGACAGCCCTGAAAAAGGCTCAGGACAGGCTTGGCATGGCCAGTATTATATTTTAATAAGATGACACTTACTAAAACGGTGGAAACTAGATCTGAGGGATTAGACTGGGCAGGGGAGAAAGGATTTGCAATTTACCCAGGAAATCAGTATGTCCTTGTTAGTCAAGATTTCGGTATGTTGTGTTCTTCAGCAGTGTTTACCAGCGTTAACTACCTCGAGGTGTTTTGGCTTTTGATGTGAAGCAATGTACTTTTGTTCGGTTCTAATACCTTCTTCTCTTTCTTCCTTCTAGTTCTCTTTCAACATGTTTGACCACCCGATTCCCCGGGTCTTCCAAAACCGCTTCTCCACGCAGTACCGCTGCTTCTCCGTATCCATGCTAGCGGGGCCTAATGACAGGTCAGATGTGGAGAAAGGAGGGAAGAGTATGTGCTTGTTCTTACTTTGAATAGTAGCCTTTACTGCCCTGTCAGCCATGCCTGCAGCCTTCAACAGTCCTTTGCATGTGGGAGCCGGAAGCGAGTGTTAGGTGAAAGTGGTGCTTGTCCCGGACTTGCTAAGGGGGAATGGTGCTAGTTAATGGTTAGAGTCTGGCTGGTAGCCATTCAGTTCCCAAAAATAAACTACATCAAGTAAGATTCTTTATGAAAGATCACTATGAAATTCTGGCTACCCTAAAAATACTGTTTAAAACATTTTTTTGACATAATAGAAACTGCATCTTGCCTTTGGTTTGTCCTTTTTATTTTTATTTTTTTAATATTCTTAAATGTTCTTTCCACAGTAATTATGCCACCCTCAGCCCTCGATCAACTCAGTAAGTATTTCCTTTAGGTGATTTGAGAACTTGGATAATGTAAATATGGATGCCAGGAATCAGCATAAGCTCCTCGGTACATCTGGACACGGGTGTCCTTTGTCAACATCTGTTTGCAAGTCATCCCTGGAAGGTGCATACCCAGGGCGAGGGGGTGCTTGGTGGTGGCCCGCTGTCCAGGCCAGGGCCAGTGAGTATGCAGGTTCATCACCGCCCCGGGTGCTTCAGGACCCTCCTCTGTGAGGGGGTTCCCCTCCCCTCCCTGACCCCTGCTGCCCCCCAGCTTGTCTCAGAGTTCCGTCAGGGTTGAATGAAGGTCTGAGTAGCAAGTGGTTTGCACAGTGCCAGGCAGCGGCTGCACTCTGGATCGGCTCACTAGGTTTCCTCCTAAGGGAAGAATTGGTCGGTTCACAAGAGGATGCTGCGAGGCAGGTTTCTCTTCTCCTCACCAGACATCTTCCCTGAGCCCCAGACCCACGTTTCTGACCCCCGCTACGGTGGCACGTCCTCAGCATGCCAAACCGAGTTACTGTTTTCTGCCCCAGAAGTCATTCCTCTTGCTGATTTCCTGCCTCTTACCAGGAGTGAGAAAGCCCCACAGCTTGTGACAGTGGCCATGGTCTTCTCTTTTCCCCAACTCATTATCCCACAGGAGCAGCCTGGAGACCCCACACTCTAGCCCCACGCTGCCTGGACACGGAAAACTCTAATTATGAATGACCCCAGCCTGGGGCAGTCATTGCCTTTTAAGACTTAGAGGTGTTTCTGGTGTGGATTCCTCCTGTATAAGGCAGGAGAGTGAGGGCTGGCCAGGGGCATGGATTCACAATTGGTGTTGGGGCACATGGTGACAGCTTGTGGAGAACAGGCACTGGCTTTGGTGTCACTCACCTCTGGCTCTTTGCCCAGCCTGACTCTTGAATAGTGATTTGGCCTCTCTGAACCTCAGTGTCCTCTTGTTTAACTGGGGACATCCACAGTGCCTGTGCATTGGCGGTACTATAGTGTGTGTGAACAACCCAAGCCCATCTGGTGCCAGCCACAAGGAGGGAGGTGACCACTGAGCCAGCTCCAGCTGTGGCTGTACCCAGTGGAGGCCTCGGCTTAACCAATGAGTGGGTAGAGCCAGGGAGTTCCCAGCCCTCACGAAGACCCTGTTGTTACGGATGAGGGGATGGGCAGAGAGGTCTTCCTTTCAGGGTTGCTCACCCAAGAGTGGAACCAGGTGTGGCCTTGGCACAAGTGTCCAGACGAGTCTCGGACTGGGTCAGTGGGGTGTATTTCAGATCGGTGTTTAAACCTTTTAAGTGACAAACCCTTTTTGTCCAAATAAAATCTTATAGGAAGTCCTATTTTATAAAATACAGGGCTATTGCTCTGGCTGGAGGAGGTGAGGGGGTGTAGAAGGCTCAGGAGTCCCAAGGCACTTCTCTAAATCACTGAATGCAGTTTGAGAATCGGTGGACTAAGGGACACTGGCATCTCTTCCACTTGTAACCATCTCAGACCCTTGGCTGGAGCCTGAGCCAGTTCACCCTGGAGCAGCTGCGGGTCAGCTCCACGGCTCTGGTGCTGAGAGGTGCCCCAGGGACAGGGGGCCTGTGGCCCCCATGCTCCTACTATCAGAGTCACCCTTGGCATAGGAGGGAGCAGTTGTCCCCTGCGCACCTCCATGGTGAGGTGCTGCTTCCAGAGGTTCTTCTCTGTAGCCTCCTACCCAAGCTCTTCACTCTATTTGCTTTATTCGAATTTTTAGAGCGATCCCAGATACAGTTTGCTTTACCTCCTAATGCCACATGAGACTTCTGTTGATTTATTTGGGTAAAACGATAAGCTGAAGTCTGTCCAGATGGTTGAATCCCCAGACTTAAGCCAGCAGTCTGGGTTTGAATCCTGGCATTGCCACTCGTGAGTTCTGTGGTCTTGGGCATGTTACTTAACCTGCGTGCCTTAGTTTCCCCATAGATAAATGGGGGTAGTGATAGTACCTACCTGACTGTTCTGGGAAGATTGAATAAGGACCTCGTGTGTGGCAGACACCATCACCACCATCAGTATCTCCTCAGACCCCTCCCCAGGGCCCTGGGTCTCCTGGTGCCTGCCCCTCCTTTCTGTGCCCCTGCACCTCCCGAGTCAGCATGCCTGTTTGCCTGCCTCCTGCCCTTCTTGCAGCCCTCACCTGAAGAACTTCAAGGAGTAAGGGGACACACAATGTTGTGGCCCTGCTGAGAGCCCACACTGCTCCCTTGCCTGGGTACTAGGTTCCGCCCATGTGGGAGCCCAGCCCAGCCTCCCTCCCCTTCCCAACCTCCCCCAACACCTGTCCCAGCCCCATCTTGGCTCGTTGCCCACGGTTCCAGAACTGCCCAGGCTCCTCCTCCCCTCCATGCCTATGCTCAGGCTGTCCCTCTGTCAGGAATTACACCCATGGCCTACCTCCAGAGACCAGCCTGGAGAACTTGGCCTCTAGGAGCCCATCCTTGTGGCCCTGCTATGCTCTCTGCCCACAGCACCTAGGTGCACTTGGTTTTTTTGTTTGTTTGTTTTGGGGGGGTTTTTATTGAGACAGGGTCTCCCTCTGTTGCCCAGGCTAGAGTGCAGTGACATCATCATGGCTCCCTGCAGCCTTAGACTTCTGGGCTTAAGGAATCCTTCTGCCTCAGCCTCCTGAATGGCTGGGCATACATGCCTGCACTGCCACGCCCAGCTAATTTTTTTTATTTTTTATAGAGATGGGGTCTTGTTCTTGCTCAGGCTGGTCTTGAACTCCTGGCCTCAAGTGATCCTCTCTCCTTGGCCTCCCAAAGTGCTGGGATTACAGGCATGAGCCACTGCACCTGGCCTGGTTGTTTTTCTTTCTTGCCTTTCTAACTAGAAACTTTTAAAGGTAGGGATTTTGTCCAGTATGTGGTTGGCACTTAGATTATTAATGACTAAGTGAACAAACCCCTTGCTTTTTAAAATCGTGATTTCAGAAGGTCACAGGTCTGTGCCAGTGCTGCATTACTGAGTTGTCAAATTTCACAGGCTGCTCCTCTGGGCCACGTACTGTGCTGTCACGGGGAGTGGGGCGTCCCGGTCTGAGGAGTGTGGGGGCCGACTGGGCAGACCCCCAAGTCTGCGTGTCTGCTGGGGGGTGGGGTGAGGCTCCCTCCAGGGGAGGGCCTTGGGGACAGAGTTTCTCCTCACAGGAGCTGCCTCATACCCTCTCTCTTCCTTTTAGGCCGACTTAACATTACCTATCCCATGCTGTTCAAGCTGACCAATAAGAATTCGGACCGCATGACGCACTGCGGTGTGCTGGAGTTTGTGGCTGATGAGGGCATCTGCTACCTCCCACACTGGGTGAGTGGGGCCACAAGGTCTTTGGGGAGTCTGTGCCCTTCGGCCTGTCAGGGCGGGGGCCTTGTAGGCAGGGACACCGCACGTGTGTGCGCGCACTCTGGAGTTCTGGCTGCAGGGCAGGTGGCCCAGATCCTCCTGCCTCTGCATCTCTATACGCCCTGACCCAACAGGAGGGAGGGGATCCGGGACAGTGCACTGTGCCTTACGCCGTGCTTGACTGGGACACACTCGGGGGTCGCTGTGCTATGCAGATGGCCTTTCCTTTTGACAGTTGCTCGACTGGTTGCCCAGAAACCACAGCCAGGCTGTTCATCTGTGATTTCTTGGGTCAGGCTTTTTTAAAATAATGGAGCGAGAGTATTTTTTAAGTGGTCTAGTAAGTACAGTGTTTTAGATGTTTATGCTGTTTTAGTAGTTTTTGTCACAGCATGTGTGTTTTCAGACACTTGCCTGTGATTTGAGTCTTCCAGAAACACTCAACTGAGTTGCCATGGGAACGACCCCTTTCTTCTTGCAGTCAGGTTCTTTCTTTGTAAAGTGGACTTGAAGGAAGACATTGCGGACCTGGGTTGGGGTATCAAGGGCGCGAGTGCCACCGAGCTTACCTGGGGGTCATGCACTCCAGAGAGGCCAGCAGAGCTGCAGCAGCACGTTGGGGAGGAGCCCACAGTGGCAGGAGTCCCACTGAGTGGTGGCCATAGGGGCACTCAGCTCCCCCTCCCCTCCCCTCCCCTTCCCCGCTCTGACACGCTGAGCCTTGGAAGCCCACAGAGGGACCCGTGTGTGCTCTTCGTGCGTGAACTATGCCGGCCACACTGAGAGACCCCACAGGAGCTGTGGCTGGGCTGGGAGCACTCGGGTGCTCCCTCAGCTACCATGGGAGATACTCTGAAGCACAGCCCGCCTGCCCTGCTGGTCCCGTCACTGTGCTCACCAAACTTTGGGAAGGGGCGGCCTTAATTCTCATTTTCTAAGATTGAATATGAATAGAAGTTCTGAAGGTTCCTTCCTTCCTGCAGTAGGTGACCTTGCCCTGGCCTGGGTCCCAGGGCCCAGCCAGCACCTCCCCTGCGGGAACCTGCACTCCCACAGCATGTCCTGCTGCCTGGCTGTCCTGTGCTGCCTCCCACCCGAGGGGGCCTGCCCAGCCTGGCCTGTGGGTGCTCTTGCACTTCAAAACCTAGCCCCGGCTCACTTCCCTCCTTGCCCTCCCCCACTTTTGCCACTCATCCCTTGCTGTCCTTGTGAGTGTCTGTAGGTGACCCGTAGCCCCGAGGCCATGTTCTGCCGATCCTCCAGAGCACTGGTCACAGAAGCCACTGACATGGCTGAAGTGTCAGGCAGTGACTACTCCCCCAGGCCCCTCTGGACCTGCAGAGGCTTCTCTGTGGCTCACCTGTAGAGGTGAAATAGGTGGTGCTGGGGAGACCCTGTACCTTGAAGGTTTCCCTTCAAACCTTGGTGTTTGGGTGGCCACTTGTCCAAGCTCTTGGACCACTTTGGACCAGAAAACCAATTTAATTCCTTTCTTTAAGAGATATCATGCCTGCTGGAAAGCCTCTTTGGGGGCCTGGAGCCAACATGGGGTGTGAGGCTACCGCTTCCTGCGCTGGCCTTCCAGCTCTGGCGTGGGCGGGCAGGTGTCCCGGAGCCAGCCACTGGGCGTGTGAGAACTGCTTTCCCTTGGCGATTGGTGGGTTCCATCCTACCTGGAGCTCCTGAGCTGCTTCAGGTGACCCATACTGGAACAAGTGCTGGCTGTTCCAGCAGGTGGGGTCTGGTGTGCTGACCTTGACCTCAACCCCTACACGGGGATGCTTGTGAGCACGTGGGTGCGTGCTGGGCCAGGTGTGCACCTGCTGTGCTGTGTGCTTCGTTGTACCTCACAGGCGGCCAGGCTGCAGGCAAGTCTCAGCTCCTCCTGCCTGCTCACTGCCTCTGCCCATAGCCCTTTTCTCCCACCTCCAGTCCTCTGAGGACGTGCACCTCCACCCCATCCCTGACAGGCTTCCCTCAAGCCTGGGATTGCAGCCTTGCCCGGAGTGTGCTGCAGGGCCTCATGCCGGTGGGTATCCTCCCTCCCCTCACAAACAGACTTCCCAAAAAAGTCTGCCTGCAGCAGGCTGACTCTGAACCTTAAAGCACTCCCTGTTAGAGCATCACTCCCCAGTGTACCAGGACCCAAGTTACCTCTCCATCTTGCGTGCCTGCCTGTGGCATTTGGCACAGTTAGAGTGACCACCTGCCATTTTTGACCATCCCGCCTGATGAGCACCTTCCAGTGTGTGTGTCAGGGCCTGCCCAGGAGGGCTTCGCTAGCCTGTGGCCTGGGCCCGGACTCCCTCCAGGCACAGCCTCAGCCTCAGCATGCCTCCCTCCACGCACGCTTCCTCCCTCTCACCTGTGCCACAATCCTCAGCTCCCCTTCCTTGGGCTGTTAGAGTCACTTCTTAACTGCTGCTCCTGGAGAAGCATTCTCGAAGGGCCACGACGCCAGGGGCTTGTGCAGGGCGTCCCTTGTGGGCGGGGTGGGGGGACTGCTGATAGACAGCCTGGGATGGCTGTGACTTGATTACTGTTGAACTGTCAGGGCCGGGTGTGCGGAGGCTTCCTTGTGTGGTTCTGTCTACTCATGTATATGTTTGACATTCTTTTTAAGAAGGTTTCAAATAATAAAAGCAAAATTCCATCCTGGGATATGCAGGGTTTCTCATTCCTGGCCTGTGACCTGACTCCTGGCTCCTCACACACCAGGTGCCCACTGGTCTCTCCCCAACCATCGTCTACCTTGCTGGGTGGTTTAGTAGAGGCCTGTGGGGGCTTCTTTGTTGGTTTTTTATATACCCCATAGGAGACATCTCTGGGGTCTTGTCACCACCCTAGGCTTCAGCTGTCGTGGGCTCTTCCATGCAAGGTCATCTCACCTTGTGCTGTCATCAGCCTCCCTCAGTGAGGGCCTATTTGCCCAGGGCCTTCCTCGTAGGCTGCTGTGAGGCTGCTCAGAAGCACGGGGGTGAGCACCCCAGGGAAGAACTCTGCCCCTGGGAGTCCTGGCAGGGACACGCTCACACTGCCAGCTGCAGAGGCCTCAGTAGCACCCCTTTATTGGCCTTCTTCCTTCCATGTCACTTGATTTTTTTCCTCCTTCCTGACACTGTATCACCGTTAAATTACCTGTCTTATCTCAGGTTTCTCCTTGTCCAGGCACCCAGGTAATAGTGGCCTGTCTGGTGTATAGGTAGCAACAGTTGTGGAGACCACTTAAATCTCCAGGAGTCTCATGTGGCCTCTTCTTCCTTTCAGATGATGCAGAACTTGCTCTTGGAAGAAGGGGGCCTGGTCCAGGTGGAGAGTGTCAACCTTCAAGTGGCCACCTACTCCAAATTCCAGCCTCAGAGCCCTGACTTCCTGGACATTACCAACCCCAAAGCTGTGTATCCTTTTGAAATAAGGAAAGCAGTGTTCCTCCAGACAGCGGGGAGGTGTGCTGGCAGTCGTTAAACATCCAGTGCTTCATCAAACGTGTAGCTACTTTGGTGTCCACGCATTTGTTTGTGATTGCAGTCGTGATTTGAGGACGTCTCCCTGGCTCTGGCAGAGCACACCGGGTGCTCTCAGGGCCTCTTCTGGTCATTTTCCAGATACTTCCTGGAAGCCAAAGCAGAACCCCTCTTTCAGGAATACTGTGTCACCTGGCACAAAGCCCAGGATGCACAAATGACCAGTGGAGGAGGGGAGGACGGCTCATCTGCCTTCACCTCCAGCTGATGGGTAGGTAGCAGTGACCGAGAGCATTTCTGTCTCTGAGTAAGCAGAAAGCAAAAGTGTTAGGTTCTGTGGGATTTTTTACGTTTGCCTCTGAAGTTAGGCCATGTGCATGTGTTGGTAATGTCGGAAGTGGCCGGCATGGGTGAGGGTGTACTGTGTGAACCATGACTAAGATCTCTAGCTCTATGGCCCCAACTGGCCTTGTTGAGATCATGGGGTAAGAGCCATTCTATTTTTAAAAATGCGTTCTTAATAGGCCGGGCACAGTGGCTCACGCCTATAATCCTAGCACTCTGGGAGGCCGAGGTGGGTGGATTGCCCAAGGTCAGGAGTTCGAGACCAGCCTGAGCAAGAGCGAGACCCCGTCTCTACTAA